ATGGCATCACCCTAATCTTAAATAATACGGAACGGTTCCTGCCAACTACCCCAATTTACATCAGGTGATCTCTGGGAATCCAGGAGCCAAAGGAGGATTTTAAGGTCTAGAACTCTCTCCCGACGAGCCTGCTTCAGTACACAAATCCCAGAAAACGGTTTAGCGCTGAATAACCCGGAATAACCCTCAACCAAGTCACTCAGATTTTTCACTATAAAGCACACACAGAGCCCATACACTTACCATCGGCAACTAAGCCTGTCTGCACTGGAGTCCATCCCGTCACTAACCTGTAGATCCTAAAAGCTCCTCCCACCCATTTCACGTGGCTGCAAACTAGCACGTCCAGCCTTCACTAGAGAAACTCAAATTCACTCTCCATCAAAAGCACCTCCAGACCACGTCCCATTGGACCTCCTTCTCCTTCAGCGCTGGAGGCTGTCCTCCAAGGGGTACCCTCGAGGGTAAGCCCTACCCCAGCGTTGGGCCTTGGAATCATTTCAACTACAACCCCCTCCACCTTCAAGCCACGAATTCGGCCAGTTAAGACTTCCTCCCTAGACTTACAAAGCTGTACCGACTACAGCTTCCTCCCCACAGGTGTGTCCTAGTTATTACTGTTTTCTGGTAAGCCACAGGGCCTCCTTCCCACTTCGGGTGGAGGGAGTGTCCTCACTGCGATCTCCTCACCTTGAAGCAGAGATGTAGTTATAGTCTCTGCCCCTTTGGGGTCATAGAAAACCTTGCTCACTCGGAATACTGATGTGATTTCACTGCAGTCCCCGTTAGTCCGCAGGCCGCTGGGCCACCCAGCTCTGGCCTCCTCCCTCTCAGACCACGGGGGCGTCCTCGCTATAGTCTCGCCCCCACTTCGGTATGCAGGCTCATCCTCTTTTGCGTCCTTCTTGCACACTCTCAGGCCTCAGAGGCGCAAGTGGCGCCCCAGGGCCCCCGCAGCCGTGCCCGACCCTTTTGTGTGGGGCGCTCGCTGCTGCGGGCTCGGAGGCCTCCGAAGGCCCCGCCCCGGGCCACCAAGGGGCGGCTCGAGCCCCGCACAGCCCCGCCCGTTCCGGGACTGCGGGAGTCTTACCGGGGAGTGCTGCGCGGCACCCGAACCCAGACCCGAGTTACCCCCCGCGCGAGTGCCTCCGCCCCGCGGCCGACAGCCCCTGCGCGAACAGCTTTCCGGAGCCTACAGCAGCCCAGCCACCACCACCTTTGCCGCTTCACAAAATGGCCGCCAGCCCGCTCCGCAGGTCCGCGTTCCAGAAGAGGCGGGGTGAGGTGGTGACGTCACGGACGAGACGACGCAAGCGCACTGAGGGTTTTGGGCAATCTCCCGGAACTTACCGATGTTTTTAGGGAGAAGAGCTTCGAGTCAGTTTGTGCGACTTTTGCGCTCTAGCCAGGCTTTAAGAGTCGGACGCTACTGGTGGGATGGGTATAGTATCCGGATCCGCCTCTCGCTGCAGGATTCTGTGCAAATTACTTCACTTCTTTAAACCTTTGCGAAAGGAGGGAAATATATTGTTACCTACCTTGAGTGGTTATTTTGAGAAATAAAAGAACTATAAAGTGGTATCCAGTTTTGATTCCCTGACAGAAGAACCAAAACCTGATTTTTTTCATTTGAAAACTTCAGTCAGTACCTTGACCTGTGTGATTCAGGTGATTGGGTGTCGTCCTAAAGAGGGAAGGGTCGCTGATTGGATTCCTGGTCCGGGCACTGCCTGGGTTACGGCGCGGGCCAGAGGTAACTAATCCATGTTCCTCACATCATGTTTCCCTCTCTCCCTCCCTTTCCCTCTTTCTAAAAATAAAATCTTTAAAAATTTTTTCATTTAGGGGAGCCTTATCCACCAGTTTTCATTAACCCATCTGCAGATGTATTTCAATATATTTGACTATAGAAAAAATTATACCGATGTTGCTTTCTTCCAGGCCTCCCAGACTCCACTGGCCCTGTGTCTACCCTGTAGCTTCATGAATATCATGGTAATTGAACTAATCTTTCAAGACAAAGTGAGGAGTCAACTAAAAAATTCAGGGAGGAGGCCCAAGGTTGTGGGTTCCTTCCCTGGTGAGGGCACTTAAAAGAATCAACCAATGAGTGAACAAATGAGTGGAATAGCAAAAAGGATGTTTCTCTTTCTCCCTTCTCTAAAATAAATGAATTAATAAATTTTAAAAAGATCAGGGGCCCTGCCCTGGCTGGTGTGGCTCAGTGGATTGAACACCTGGGCACTGGCCTTCAAACCAAAAAAGTTCTCTGATTCAATCCCCTGTCGGGGCACATGCCTGGGATTTGGGCCAGGTCCCCAGTTAGGGGTGTGCAAGAGGCAACTGATGGATGTATCTCTCACACACTGATGTTTCTCTCCCTTTCTCCCTCCCTTCCCCTCTCTAAACAATAAATAAAATCTTTAAAAAAAAAAAAACAGGCCACACATTTTATTTTTCAATCCTCAGCCAAAGACATATTTTTATTTGATTTAGAGAGAAAGAAAGTGAGGGGGGCAGAGAGAGAAATTGGTGTGAGAGAGTAACATCAATCGGTTGCCTCCCGTACACACCCCAACCAGGAACACAACCCAAACTCTAGGTATATACCCTGACTGAGAATCAAACCCACAACCTTTCTGTGTATGGGAGATGCTCCAACCAACTGAGCCACTTGGCCAGGGTAGGGGCCACACTTTTATTTGATTTTTTTTAGGGCCCCAACCTATTCTGGAATGATCTCATCTTAAGTAAATACATGTGAAATTACTGTTTCCAAATAAGGTCACTTTCTGGGGTATTGAAGGTTAGGATTTCAACATCTTTTTAAAAAATATATTTTATTGATTATGCTATTACAATTGTCCCATTTTTCCCCCTTCACTCCCCTCTACCCTGCACACCCACATTCCCCTTTAGTTCATGTCCATGTGTCATAAGTTCTCTAGCTTCTACATTTCCCATACTATTCTTACCCTCCCCCTATTTTCTACCTACCGTCTATGCTACTTATTCTCTGTACCTTTTCCCTCTCTTTCCTCCCATCCCCCTGTTGCTAACCCTCCATGTGATCTTCATTTCTCTGATTCTGTTCCTGTTCTAGTTGTTTGCTTAGTTTTTGTTTTACGTGTGGTTATTAATAATTGTGTTTGCTGTCATTTTTCTGTACATTTTTTTTACTGTACATCTTCTTTTTCTTAGATAAGTCCCTTTAACATTTTATATAATAAGGGATTGGTGATGATGAACTCCTTTAATTTGACCCTATCTGAGAAGCACTTTATCTGGGGGCCACACTTTTTTTTAAACCAAATCTATACTTTATTATATATACCCTTTGTAGGTATAATATAGTATATTAAAAAAAAACCCTACTACATGCAATGTAGTATCTTAGTTGGATATCCTGGAACAGAGAAAGGGCATTAGTGTCCTTTAAATTTTATTTTAAAGCCTTGGAAATCTGAATAAAATCTGAGGTTTAGTTAATATTAATGTACAGATGTTAATCTCTTAGTTTTAACAAATGTACCTAAGATGTTAAGTGAGAGGAAGTTGGGTAATAGATATATAATTCTGTACTACCTTTGCAACCTTTTGCTAAATCTCAAATTATTTAAAATACAGGCCTGGCAAGGTGGCTCAGTTGGTTAGAGTGTCATCCAATACACCAAAATTGCAAGTTTGATCCCAGGTCAGATCACATACAAGAAGCAACCAATGACTGCATAAATAAGTGGAAGAACAAGTTAATGTTCCTCTTTCTCTCATCAATATATTTAAAAAATAAATACATAGTCCTGACTGGTGTGGTTCAGTGGATTGAGTATTAGCTTGCGAACTGAAAGGTCACGGGTTTGATTCCCATTCAGGGCACATACCTGGGTTGTGAGCCAGGTCCCCAGCTTGGGGGTGTGTGCAAGAGGCAAACAATCCATATATCTCTCACACATCCTTGTTTCTCTCCGTCTTTCTCCCTTTATGTCTCTCTAAACATAAATAAATAAACCCTGGTTGTTGTGGCTCAGTGGATTGACTGCCAGCCTGCGAATCAAAGGGTCACCAGTTTGATTCCCAGTCAGGGCACATGCCTGGGCTGTAGGCCAGGTTCCTTGTAAGGGGGCGTGAGAGAGGCAACTAAACATTGATGTTTCTCCCCCTCTCTTTCTCCTTCCCTTCCCCTGTCTAAAAAATAAATAAAACCCTTTAAAAAAGTAAAATAAATCTTTTAAAATAAATAAATATATAAATCAAATTATTCAAAATTTAAATTTTATTTTAAAAACTTCTATGGTTTCATCTCTCCTATCCATCTGCATTCACCATACTTTAGCTTAGTGGCTTTCAAACTTTTGACCACCACTCACATAAGAAATACATTTCCAACTTGGTACATGCATGCAAATATATATTTAAAATATGTGTGATGTAGTCTAATTTATTTCACCATCACTTGTATGTGTGCTGGTAACTATCCACCTGTGGCTTCAGATCCACAAATGGAAAACTCTACACCGGCTGCACCAGCCTTCTACTGGTTTCTCAGATACGCCATGCTTTTTCATACCACGGGCCCTTTGCTTCTGCTGCTGTTTCTCATCCCTCACTCATTCCTAGCACTGTCCATGACTGGAAATCACGTTTTTGCTTAACACCTCCTCAGAAAAACTTTCAGAGTATCCCTGGCATAGCAGTTTATCCCCATTATTTCCTTTTACCACTCCAATTCTGTCAAAGCACTCGTCACAAACTATAATAGCCTTATTTGTTTACTCCTTATTTTCTGTCTCTCCCCAAGAATGAGGGCAAGGTCCTTTTTGGTCCTGTTCGCCAGTGTCCAGAACAATATCAGGCTCCTGACGGGTACTCAAATAATTGCTGAAAGAGGAGATATGCGAGAAGACTGAGTCATGTATGGAAATCAAATGTAGTAGTAGTCTGCTCCACAATTCCCAAGAACATATTGAAATTTTCCCTAGGCTTTTCATAAAGGCACAGAGTAAACAGAGGAATGTGATTTTATTTCTTCAATCTGCAAATTAACAAACTTTTAAAAGGAAACAAATTTTTAGAGTAATAGGTAGAATCATACAGACATTTCTTACTCCACTAGGTCAAAGAAAAGTACACAAGGACAGAAAAACGCACTTCCTCAGATCTGTTCGGTCTACAATCAATATGAAGAGGTGGCCTTTGGAGCCACAAAAATCTAGTTGATTACACTTGTTCTTGAAGAAATCGGTCTTGCTTGTAGCTGTATGCAACAACTCAAGTGTCCACGTACAGCACTAGGGTCCCTGAACAAAGAGCCTTCTTTCAGTTCTGGCTCTCCCCACCAAGGATATAGACATGTTCAGCAGCAATATTGTAATGTATGTCCCCCCTGTTTCGGGGTGAGATATACACTCACATCAGAGCAGAGGACTCCTGAGAAATGGGGAGTGTTCCCCACCAAAGAAGCTGAGATCCCAGAAAGACAGTATTCCTGTGTTTCTGTTTTGAAGATGAGTTGATGCTGAAGTCAACTGGGTTACATCAGTTCTGGTTTGAACATGAAACACCCACTGGGTGTAACAAGGTGCTGGGCTGTGCATGGGTTGATGAGGCAGGAGCAGCCAAGCCAGCACATAGTCGGAGGCCCTCTCTTCTAGTGTTGGGTCCACTTGATGCTCTTAAGGTCAATGCCATCCTGCACCATCTCCCAGAGAGGGCTGCCAAAGAGAAGAGGTATTGGATCAGTGATGGTTTAAGAGAAGTTGCCAACATTGGCTCCCAGGCCAACAATCCTATATTAATGAGAGTTTTCCTATACTTAATCTACAAGTCATTAATTCTGTACTGATATCACTGCAATGACAACTATTAACACTATCAATAACAAAAATGAAAAACATCTACATGTATGTACTTCTTTAGTTTATAAAAACATTTTTTCAGCCTTGGCTGGTGTGGCTTAGTGGACTGAGAGCTGATGGCCTGCGAATCAAAGGGTTGCTGGTTGGATTCCTGGTCAGGGCACATGCTTGGATTGCGGGCCAGATCTTAGTAGGGGGTGTCCAAGAGGCAACCACACAGTGATGTTTCTCTCCCTCTCTTCCTCCCTTCCCTGCTCTAAAAATAAATAAATCTTTCTAAAAAACATTTTTTCATATTCTGAAAACTAGTAGCTGAGGAGATCCAGTTTCTTGCTTTGTAAAACCTCTGAAACCTAAAATCCAAGTAACTTTGGTTTCCAGCTGTGTGAACTCAAGGGCGTGAGGACAAGAGAAAGCCAGCACTGCAATCTCTTGCAAAGGGTTTCTGGTACAACAGTGCGGACCTCATTTCTCGAAGACGCTTCACATGGTGAATGCACTTTTCAGCTGTGTAGTCCACTTCCTCCTCTGTAGTGAAACGGCCGATGCCAAACCTGAAAAAGGCACAGGAGAGGAGCTCTACATCACAGCTCTGGCACGGAAGTAAATTCATTCAGCAAATACTCAGACTCTACTCCACAAAGAACGTGGAGAGAACATGGCCCTTCCCCTCTAGATCAGAGATCCTCAGCGTTTCTACAGTTTGTGGACCAGCTACACCAGAAGCACCTGAGACGTTTCCTACTCCTTCAGACCTAGTGAATCAGAATCTCTGAGTGTGGGACTCAGAAATCTTCATCTTGCACAAACTTCCCAGGTGATATTCAATGACATCTGAAAATCACTGCTCTAGAAACTTTCATGAAGAATTAAGAAAGAATAAGGAGCCCTCAATGGTGTAGAATTGAGTGCAGGCCAGCAAACCAAAGGGTTGCCAGTTTGATTCCCAGTCAGGGCACATGCCTAGGTTGCAGGCCAGGCCCCCAGTAGGGGACACGTGAAAGGCGGCCAGATATTGATGTTTCCCCCCCTCTCTCCCTTCCTTCCCCTCTGTCTAAACATAAATAAATAAATTCTGAAAAGAAAGAAAGAATAAGAAAAACTAGATTGAGGACCACTATAATAGGAGGTGAAACACACAAAAGAAGATGCACCTCAACAGACTGACCTGATAGAAGAGTGAGCTAAATCCTCATCAGTGCCAATTGCTCGAAGGACATACGAGGGCTCCAGGGATGCAGAGGTGCAGGCACTGAGGAGAAAGACACAGAGCCTTGCTCAGTTTATCATCAACCTTTGCTTTTAGTCCTGAACCTCAGTCTTGCTCCCACCCCTCAGGTCCCTAAAGTTGTACCATGGAGACAAAAGAGATATTCTCATTTGTTGGAGCTAAAGGGCCTGATGCTACCTGCGCCTTCTGGGATATGAATCTAGTTCACCTGGCCCTTAGGAAGGATAAACTCCTTGAGCAAGGACACTGCCAAAGCATGACACTGCACGGCTGGTCTGACAAGAGGCAGCAGAACGTGTGCTTACTCCCCTTGACTGAATACACCATATTATACCGGCCTAAAGGACAGCTAAACCCTTGGTGGCCTTTGAAGCATATTTTAATTCTAGAAGGCCTGCTACAGCACTGCTAATATAATATTAGAACAGACACATGCAACTTCTGGGTGAACAAAAAGCACAAAATTCTACCCCAGGAAGCTCTCCTAGAGTGGAAAATTTCAGCCTGTGCCCAGCTGGCTAAAAAAAAAACAGATGCTTACAAAATGACCTTTACTCTTAACCAACAGCTCCTGTGCCTGTCATCTCTACACTGGGAAGCTTAATAATTTGTTATAACACTAAGAAGCCAGGCTAATCAGTCCTGCCGCAGTCCCTGTCTATCTGGTCCAACTTACCTCCCCGAAGATAAGGCAACATCCTTGAGTGCCATCAGTAGACTCTCCCCTTCCACATAGGCGAAGGAGAGGTTGATACAGCCTGGAGGAAAGAACCACTATGAGAGGAGTCTCAGGCTCTTCCAGAATGGGAATAGAAAGGGCTTGTTCATACCTGGGTAATGGTGCTCAGGGTCCCCATTCATCACCACATCTGGAAGGCTCTTCATTATCTTCTGTATCAACCGCTCTGCTAACTTGGAAATGCGCTTGTGGTCATACTGAGAAACAAGCAAGGGAGAGCTAAGCATAGTGACCATCGACAGCACAGAAACACACAGGATGAGGAGCCCTTCTTCTGCCCGAAGTGACCCTGCATCGGACCCACCTCTCATCCTGTGTTACTCATGGAGAACACTGTAGCCTCAGCAAAATAACTGGACACGTGGTTCTAGTAACCCCCAAATAAATGAGCTGATAACTACTGAAATGGCCCTGGATTTTGGAGTCTACAACATCTCTCCAGAACAAGATGCCAGCAGCACCGGGACGAGGATGGTTTTCTTAAACCTCCTCTTCGGGTAGAGATCTGGCTCAGTCGTGCGGAGAAGCCTCTAACAGGAGACCCAGCACAGGGGAAGAAGCTGTGAGAGGGAACCGCTTTCTCCATACCTCCATCTCCTGCTGTGCCACTTCACACGCAGCCCCCAGCCCCACCACCAAGGGTGTGGGCACCGTCCCAGACCGCATACCCCGCTCCTGCCCCCCTCCACTCTGCAGCGCCTCTACACGCACACGGGGCCGGCGGCGAATGTAGATGGCACCAACCCCTGGGAAACGAAGTTCGTTACAAGAAAGAGAGAAAGAAAAGTGCAGATGAAATCAAATATCACTTTCCAAGGGGGTCAAAATATTCTTTTAACTTTTATGTATGCTTGAAATTTTTTTTAATAAAAAAAGTTGGGGGGAAAAAGAAAAAAACAGCAGTAAAAGCATACACAGTACTTATCAAAATCATTTAACATCAGGAAGGTAACTACCAGAAGGAGTAAAGGCTCATTTTAAATTTAATAACTCCTGGCCCTGGCAGGGTGGCTCCGTTGGCTAGTATTGTCCCATACACCAAAAAGGTTGTGAGTTCGATCCCTGGTCAGGGCATATACAAGAAACAAGCAATGAATGCATAAATAAGTGGAACAACAAATCAATGTTTCTCTCTCTCTCTCCTCCTCCTTTTCTCTCTGTAAAATTAATAAATTTTAAAAACTTTAAGAATAAAAATAAAGTAGCACCTGCCTTGGCCAGGTGCCTCCATTGATTGGGGTGTCATCCCACATACCAAAAAGTTGTGGGTTCGATCCCCACTCAGGGCACAACCTATATTGTGGGTTCGATCTCCAGTTGGGAGCACACACATATACAGCTATATCTTCAATTAAAGACAACAAAGGCAACACTTTAGTTAAAGATAAAATGGCAGTCGGGGGTCTTTAAAATAATAGCTCACATGACCTGGCTGGTGTGGCTCAGTGGATTGAGCGCTGGCCTACAAACCGAAAGGTCACTGGTTTGATTCCCAGCCTGGGCACCTGCCTGGGTTGCAGGCCAGGTCCCCAGCTGGGGGCATCTGTCAGGCAATCACACGCTGATGCCTCTCTTCCTTTTTTCCTTCCTCCCTCCCCCTCACTCTAAACATAAATAAAATCTTAAAAAAATAAAATAATAGCTCACAAAAATACTCTTTGTGTCCTCTGGGAACCTTTAGAAGAAGTCCTCTTACATACTTCCAGGAGCTATCACACCCTTTTCCACAGGGTGCACACTCAGATGACACACCCTGCAGGCACAGAGTGTGTACTGGCACTACGAAGCCCTGCAGGATCTCACCTTAGAGACAGAGGAGGAGCTGTTTGTTTTTTATGGCCACCTCCATAATATAGTGGGCAATAGTGTCTTCACAAAGTTGGGGTGAAGAGGTAGAATTCTAATTAGAAAACACCCCTAGGTCAAGAACACATGGAATAGACAAGTATTCTTGAGAGACATAACAGGGGCACAGAGACCACTAAGTCCAGGAACAAACACCGAGAGATGCACAACCCACACAATCTTCCTCCAGGCTAAAGCAAGCCGCAGAGAAATGAAGAACTCAAAGACTATTGCTCTGCATAGAGGGGAGACAAGGTCTTAACAAGGACTTAACTGCTGTTCTTCAACCAACTGGATGCCTACATGCTTTTCTAAGGGTTTCCTAAAGAGAACAGGGAAGAACGGTCTGCTACAATGCAACTATGAAGAGCACACGTTCTTGGCTATTGCTAACGACACTTGCAGAGTGCTCTCCTTTTCGGCAGCACCCCTCCATGCCTTTCCCACCCCCTTTTCTCCCCCAAAGCCCATTATCTTCGCCTTTCCCTCTCTTAAGCCTTGTCCAAGGGCCCTTTCTTTTGCCTCTGTAACTTGTTTCTAGAGCCCACGCAGCCTGGCTGGCTCAATTCTACTACTTCTGTAACTAACTTTCTAAGTGAACTTTCTCTTATAATTTGAAAAAATATATACACATGAAAATAAATAAATGACACTTGCATTCTGCAAGGCACTCTGAATTTACAACTTCTGAGAGCGATGGCAGTCCCAGGTGAGTCCAAGGAACACTTGTGAAGGGGCTTACTGGGAAGTGCAGAGCAGAGAGACTAGAGGAGCAGCTGATACCTTTGGGACCATAGATTTTGTGGCCACTGATGCTCATGAGATCAATTTTCATGTTGTTGACATCAAGAGGGATTTTGCCAACAGCCTGGGCTGCATCGGTATGGAAATAGACCTTTCTGGAACTGCAAATCTGCCCTAAGGAAACAACAGAGAGAAAGAACCATAGCACAATGTCGGGCAGTCACCCGGCAGTGGTCCCACAATGTACCATGAGTCCTAGGGTGAAACTGCATCAGGCATTAGCCTCTAGCCATAGAAATCATTCTCTCTCTCTCTCTCTCTCTCTCTCTCCAACACTGGTCCTTCAATATATCAGATTAACTTTCCTACTTTTTTATCTTAAAAGAGGCAGAGATTAACAGATAGATTTGCTAAAGTAACTAAGAAGTTACAGGGCGAGTCTCTGGGTTTAAGTGAACATAATAAAGAGATCAAAGTGAAAAAGATCAAAGAGGAAGAGAAAAAAGAATAAAGGGTTATTTTGTTTGTTTTTTGTTTACTGCACTGACTGCAGAAAAATGAAAAGCACATAAAACGTACTAGACCTGGATTCAAATACTGGCTATGCCATTCACAATGTCTCTTTCCCCAGATTTCCTCACTGCACTCTACGAAGTGTTACAGATGCCAGCCCATCCCACTCCTCAGATGAATCCCAGTGGTGGGCGAGCATCAGGTGAGTATCCAGGATACTCACCTATTTCTACAATGGGCTGCTTCACTCCAATCTCATTGTTCACAGCCATGACTGAGACCAGGCTGGTATCAGGCTGGATGGCAGCTTCTAGGTCCTAAGAATATCAGGAGTAAGGAGACTATACACAGTACCACCAAGTAATCCTCCCCAACTTAGAATGTAGGCAAGCTTAATCTTGGAAAGGAGCCTTTTGCTACACACCTGTCAGAATGGTTTAAATAAGAATAGTGACAATACAAAAATGCTGGCGAGGATGCAAAGAAACTTGATCACTCATATATTTGTGGGAACATAAAATGGTACAGCCACACTGAAAAACACTTTGGCAGTTTTAGTTCTTTATAAAACTTGTGAACAAAAGGGGTGCTGTGGTAAATCAATGACCAAAAGTAACTTCACATGGTGATCTGGTCAACAATTCCTAACTGGACCCTGGCCAGGTATCTCAGCTGACTAGAGTATCATCCTGATATACTAAGGTGGCAAATTCGGTCTCCAGTCAGGGCACGTACAGGAGACAACCAATGAATGCATAGATAAGTGGAACAACAAATTGATGTTTCTCTCTCTTCCCTATTCTCTCTCTAAAAAGTAATTTTAAAAAAAGGTTTCAAGTCTGGGACCTGACAAAACAAAATGGATTACTGGGTACTTATTTGAAAAACAAAATCCTAACTGAACTGGTGTGGTGGGTACTCATGCCCCAGGCCTATAACTTATTTAGTAAAGGGGTTTATCTTTGCCTGAAGCAAACCTTGTCCCATTGTTCTCGGCCATCTAGGTTAACGCACCTTTGAAAAACCAGAGTAATCCACTTTTCCATACCCCTCAGAGGTGTAACCACCCTCAAAGGAGCACATAATCTTGTTAATTATCCTATAAACCAATCTGAGAGATTTCTTCATTTTATAGTCTTCTACCTTCATGTAATTGTCCTTATGTTTCCACCTTAATTCCAAATGTACACAACAGGGTCCTGTCTACAACCTATATCTTAGGATTTATCTAGGAATGCTAGTATCCAAAACCTGGTGGACTAGAGGCTTGGACTCACTAGCCAAAATGGACACATAGGACATGGGGCAAAAAGGGAAACATTCTTCTAAAAACTACCCTTCCTCTTTAGAGTGATGGGAGACATCAGTGTAAGGGGGAAGCAGGCCAGGGCTTTGCCATGGTGTGAGCCCCTGGCACCCTGTATACATGTCCAGTGCCTCCCACACAAACAAGGAAGCACCAATAAAGCTGAGAAATACATCCTTGGAGAAAAGGAAGATGGTAGAACAGATGAAAGGGGAATACTGAAAGGATAAAGTCTGCATTATTTGCTATTTGTGGCACCATTTGCAGAGCAGGCCCATGCCCTTGTTAAACATGACGGCCATTTTACTCTCCTGAACTTATGTCCTCAGGACTGGAAATTACTGGAAAGCAAGAACAGAATACGACTAACGGCCCTTTCCCCCTCCCCCAGAGCCACAGGCAAAAGATAACATTGGAGCAAACTGCAGCTTATTCAAAACCAATGGAACTTTCCTTGTGTTACAATGCCACAAAGAGCCCAGAGGCCACACAACCCCACCCACCCTGTATAATCCAAAGAAAACTCAAAGCCCCCATCCCTCAGTGCTGGTGTGTCTCTCCGTGCCATGCCCCTCTCCTCTCTTAGAGACTGAGTAAAAACTTTACTCTCTGCCAGGGGCGTCCAACTTGTGGTCCGAGGGCCAAAAGCAGCCCAGGATGGCTATGAATGCAGCCCAACACAAAATCATAAATTTACTTAAAACCTTTTTCTGCTCATCAGTTTTTGTTGGTGTTTTTGCATTTAATGTGTGGCCCAAGATAACTCTTCTTCCAGTGTGGCCCAGAGACACTAAAAGGTTGGATTCCCCTGCCTACGCTCTCTTCTCTGTGAAGTCATCCGCAGCCCACGTCACTGACCACCCTACCAAATACACTCTCAGGTTCTCTGCCAGGCCCACATCTCTAAGTCCCACCCGCATCATTAGCTTTAGTCCTTCCTTCGAGCTTCAGCTGAGGCAGAGAGGGAGATTCATAGGCTGAAGCCACACTCCTCCAAATTTTTCCCTCCAGCCAGGAGCCACTCTTACCTTCAGGTCAATGATCCCACTCTTCTTCACTGGGAGGTAGGTGACCTGAAAGCCCTCAGCTTCCAGTGAACGGCAGGAGTCCAGGACACATTTGTGTTCTGTCTGCGTGGTGATCAAGTGCTTTTTCCGTGACCTATAAAACCTGGCCACCCCCTACAAATTGGTGGTGGTGGAAGGAAGGAAAATATGCTCAGAGAGACAGCAATGACTTTAATCCCATTTGTAAAGGGAGACTGGGCAAGGGTGGTGAAAGGATAAAGCCAGCCCCATTTGCTATTGCGGCACCATTTGTCTTGCAGACCTATCTCCTTATTAAACATGACTGCCATTTTATTCTTCTGAGCTTACATTCCCAGGGACGTACTAGAAGTTACTGGAAAGCAAGAACAGAACTAACCACTCCCTGCAGCCATAGGAGGAAGAAAACATTGGAACAAACTGCAGCCTCCTGTTATAATGCCCCAGCTGCCCAGGGACCACAGGACAGCAACCTCCCAGCCTTTTAAAATCCAATAAAAGCTCAAAGTCCTAACCCCTTGGGGCAGGAGTATCTCTCCACACCATGCCCCTCTTCTTTCTTGCAGAGTGAGTAAGAACTTTACTCTCTACACTTTCTTCTCTTTGTGAATTCTTTCACAGCCTACATCACTGACCACCCTAACAGGTGGTATGCTCCAACATCAATTCCTGTCACTGACTGACTGTCCTACAAATCAATTTAATCCTGATGCTAACACTCAGAGTTCATGCAAATCCCAAAGGTTAAGGGGCTCAGTCCCGAAGACTGCTGCTACTTCAAATGCGAGCCACTAGTCCTGCATGTCACAAGCACCACCCATACTTCTGCCCAGCTGGCTCCAAATTCAGGGCTTCCCACAGCCCTCTGAAGTTAAATAATTCATTAGAATGACTCACAGAACTCACTAAAAGTGCTGTGCTTATGCTTAGGGTTTTACTATAAAAGAATACAACTCAGGAACAGCCAAATGGAAGAGATGCATAGGGTGAGGTCTTCTCCTTGTGCAGTCTGGGCACGCCACCTTCTCAGCGCAGCCATGAGTTCACCAACCTGGAAGCTCCTCCAAGCCTCGAAGTCCAGAGTTTTTATGGGGGTTTCATTATGTGGGCATGATGATCAGATCTTTGGCCACAGGATTGAACTCAATCTCCAACCCCACTATTCTCCTCAGTGGAGAGTAGAGCTGGAAGTTCCAATCCTCTAATCACATTCTTGATCTTTCTGGAGTGACCAGCCTGTCCCTTGAAACTACAGCCCATTGTCCTGACTGGGTAGCTCAGTTGTTTAGAGAATTGTCCCCGATACCCCAAGGTTGTGGGTTCGATCCCCTGTCAGGCACATACAAGAATCCACCAATAAGCCCTGGCTGGTGTGGCTCAGTGGACTGAGTACTGGACTGGGAAGCAAGGGGGTCACTGGTTTGATTCCCAGTCAGGGCACATGCCTGGGTTGCAGGCCCGGTCCCCCATAGGGGGCGCACAGGAGGCAACCACACACTGATGTTTCTCTCCCTCTCTTTCTCCCTCTCCCTCTCTCTAAAAATGAATAAAATCTAAAAAATAAATTTAAAGGATCAACCAATGAATGCATAAATGAATGAAACAGCAAACTGATATATCTCCCTTTATGCTCCCCCATTCTCTCTAAAATCAATAACAAATAAATAAAAAGAAAGAAACTAAGGGCCCACCATGAATCACCTCATTACCATAAACCTAGATATGATTCAAAGGGGCTTGTTTTGAATAAGAAATGACAATCTTATCATTCAGGAAACTCCAGAGGTTTCTGAAGCTCTGTACCAGGAACAGAGAAAAAGACCAACTATATTCACAAGTGGAAAACAGGAAACACGCCTATCCTTTCTCCCCAAGCAAAAGCCTCTCTCTTTTACTTCTATTTAAACAGCAAAACATGCAAATGTGGTGATACTGATACCCAAAGCTGGCAGTGGGGAAGTGAAACTCATACACTTACTGCTTATGGCAGTATTTATGCTATAACTCTTCAGAGGATTACGTAGAAAGATGTCTTAAAAGCTGTGTTCACATTCTTTCACTTTGATTCCTCTTTTGGGAGTTTACCTTAGGGAAATATCGCAAAAGATGGAAGAAGTCACAGAGAAAAAATATGCTTTAGTAATATTTACAATCCTCAAGAAACATGGAAAGGTTAAATACATCCAACAAGTAATAATAAAATAAATACTAAGTTGGAAAAACACAACTTCATAAACAAGAATGTAGTTAGAAGAGAATAAACAAGAATAAAGGAGTTGGAAATGGAAGAACATAGGACATGTTATTAATAGCTACAGAAGAATAAATATGACATGCTATAATTTGTAAAAATATTAAAAGCAAATTTATATATATGTAGTTTTTTTCCTGCAACAACGCTAAACTAAACTAGTTTAGAATTAACAGAATTAACCTCACAGACCAGGACTTCTGGTAAGAATAGGAGAGAAAGACTTACACTTTATGTGACACTTTTCTATGGAATTAAAAAATCTTACCACAAACGCATGAATTATTTTCTAAAAATTAAAAAGAAAATGTGAAATCCCATTCCTTTAGAGTTTATAATAGAATACTACTTTAAAAGCAGAATATAAAACCAATTAGGCTAAATTTATTTATTTACTTATTTGTTTGTTTTTTTAAAGATTTTATTTATTTTTAGACAGAGGGGAAGGGTGGGAGAAAGAAAGGGAGAGAAACATCAATGTGTGGTTGCCTCCTGTGCAACTGGGGACCTGGCCCGCAACCCAGGCATGTGCCCTGACTGGGAATTGAACTGGTGGCCCTTTGGTTCGCAGGCTGTCACTCAATCAACTGGGCCACACCAGCCAGGGCCCAATTAGGCTAAATTTAGAACAACGTAAAAACTATATATATTTTTTAAAGATTTTATTCATTCATCTTTAGAGGGGAAGGGAAGGAGAGAGGGAGAGAAATATCAATGTATGGTTGCCTCTTATGGGTCCCCTGCTGGGAATTGGCCTGCAACCCCGGCATGTGCCCTGACTGGGAATCGAACCGCAATTCCTTAGTTCATATGCCCACACTCAATCCACTGAGCTACACCAGCCAGGACTGTATGTTCTTAAAGACAAGGAATATAAAAAGGAAAACATTTAAAAGTTCCCCTTCTCCTGTCCCACTTACTCATAGTGTAGAATGCTCTAATAGCAGATACATATTTAGTCTACCTGTCCAGGAGACTAAGGGGAATGCTGTCACAACTATTCTTAGCAATACTTAATCTAGGTTTGGGATCTGTGGAACCTTTCAAAACAAACATTTTCAAAGTTTGGAAACCATCCTCATTTCTTGGAGGGACCTGGCTCTGTGGTCTCTGCAGTCCAAAGATAGGACGATTTCCTGCTAACAGGATCAGGCAGAATGCTGTTGATTCTGGAGCCTGTCCCAGGCCTCCTAGGCTGAGGACAGCGCCCCCCCGCCCCACACACTTTAAAAAAAAAAAAAAAGAAATAGTGGAAGCAAAGTTAAGAGACAACAGTAAGAGGGGGTGAAGGTAGAGTTGAACTAACAACAGCCCACAATTTATCAGAACCAGGGCACTTACACAAGTGATCCTACTAACCAGGCTCAATCAAAGGTGGTTATGTTCTAGGAAACATATGACTACTCAGAGTGGAATTTTACTTTTGTAAGTACGAGATAACTGTATGTCCCAAGGACAGAGTGACTTCTCCCAAAATGGGTGATCAAATGAATGCCACAGAAACCAATACCTGAAAATGGGGGCATCTAAAGAAATGGGAGGAACCCTGGCTGGTGTGGCTTGGTGGACTGTGTGCTGGCCTGAGAGCAGAGGGGTGGCCAGTTTGATTCCCAGCCAGGGCATGTGCCTGGGTTATGGGCCAGTCTCCCAGTTCGGCAGCATGCAAGGGGCAACTGATCTTTGTATCTTTCTCCCACATTGATGATTATCTCCTCTTTCTCCCTCCCTTCCCCCTCTCTAAAAATAAAGAAATAAACTCTTTAAAAAAATAAAGAATTGGGAGAAACTTGTTGCAAACAGATCTGATCAGAAAGAAAAGGGAAGGCGGAAAGGAGGGCGGCTCTGAAATCACATATATAAGGGTGCAGCTGAGAAACGTGCCCAATTACAAATGTGTCCTGGACTTCTCTGTGACTAAATCACTTCCTCTCTGAAGTAGCTGCTGTCCTCAAAAATCAATGGGTTAATGGTACAAGAACCACTTCCTTTCTTATCCAACTACCTTACTAAATTCAGTTCAGTAAAAACCAAGGGTTGAAGAAAATAAAAAAATCAGAGTTTGTGTTTGTGTCCTTTCTTTACAACAAGGTGGGAGTAGGTAGCTGGGAAATACATGCATAAGCCCAGATGATAGAAGGACACCATCTCCCAAGTGAAGAAACCCAATATCCCCTTTGGTTCCCTTTTCTTACCTTAATTGCTATATTATTGGATTCAGTAGCACCACTAGTGAAAACGATCTCACGAGGATCTGCCCCAATGAGAGATGCTACTTGCTGCAAACCAAGAAACAGAGATAAGTAACTTCAGTTCCCCAGGAAACTAGTTAGTTATAGAATACAGCTAGGACAGAGCTCTGGATCAAGAAAAGCCCCACTGCATTCTGTCAACTGCCCAAGAAGAAGTTCTGCACCCAGTAGGGTCAGGCAAGGATAAATTCAGTTATGTCCCAGATCCCAGGCTTTTCCAGACCAATACAAAATAATAATTAATAACGGTGTTTTTTTTTTAAGAAATCATTATTGATATATTTTTTTGGGGGGGAGAGTTAATAAACACATCATGGTCAGCAGTGTCTCATTTAATTCACCCAATAACCCTAGGAAGTAGGAACAATTACAGTCTTACCTGCAATGTAAAGAAACTTAGGCTCGGAGAAATTAGATAAGAAAACGCGGGAACTAATCAAATGCCTTCAGAGGGACTCCAAGGCCTCCTCTCTGAATCTCTTTCTGAAAGAGCCCCAAACCATTTCTACCTCCACCCAGAGTTACCGAGAAGGAAATGCCGCCCACAGGCCACTGAATCTTGCCATCAGTCCCTCCTAGACTCATCTGTACTAACCTGGCGAGCACGTTCCATGGCTGCCTCACTCTCCCAGCCATAAGCATGTGTTCGGGAGTGTGGGTTCCCATAGTAGTTGACAAGGTAGGGGAGCATGGCATCAAGAACCCGAGGGTCCTGTGCACAACAAAATAGATCAGTCTTTTTGAGCCCATAGTTAACTCGGGTCCCACTCCATTTCCTCAGACCTCTCCCAGCACACTCCCAAACCTTCAGACAGTGTTTAGATTGGGCTGCAAACATTCTTATAGCCCCTCAGATACTAAACAAACGTCAACCAAATATGCTCCACTCCAATCCATCTTAAATAAGGCTATTCTACCTTCTCCCAGGGTAATCTACAAACATTGTATTGTTCTGTCAGCCATTTCTGCAGGTGTTTCCATTCCTACCAGAAAATGTGACCTACAAGTGGCCAGGACATGACAGAGTCCATATGATGGTGAAACCTGGCATTAATATTCAAGTGCTTATCATGTGCCAAGCTGCTATAGGCTGATTTGTGTCTGTTCATCCACTTACTACTTGCCCAAATTCACAGTTACTAAGTAGCAGTCCTGCTAATTCCAAAGCCCTTGCTTTTAACTAGTATTATAGTGCCTGCACTGAAGTGATTTGAACAAGATCAATAGCTTGGAAGTAGATGAGCCATTTTTAGTGGACCATAACTTAAGCCTCCTAATTCCTGGCTCACTGCTTTTCCCAGCACACACTCATCAATGGTTTTTAGTTCTACAAGGATCCATCCATTTCTGTACATTGTCATGTATACAATATAATTCCTATAAACAGCATTGGGAAGAGCTGTCCCTCCATCCTTACCAGAGGAGTTGTAGCTTGCACATCCATATACAGAGGTCGCAGCACTGACTCCACCTCCGGAGGAGAGGCTGTATCTGAGCGAACAGCAGACTGGGGAGCATGGTCTAAGACTGACAAAAATATGGAACGGAGGGGCCAAGTGAGATAGGATGCAACTATGGACACAGAGTATTCAAGACAGCAGAAGGCAAAAGCCAGATGGAGTTAAGGAATGCTGGGGTTGAATCTTAATGAAAAAGAAAACATCAGAGGATTTGAGCAAACTGTGAAAGAAGGGACAGAGACAGAGTTCTTAGAAGGGGATGCTGGCACAATATTCAAATTACACTGTTGGGAGTGGGGATGGGTCTGAAAGGGCAAGGCTATTTACAAGGAATGTGGAGCTATAACAGGTAAAATCTCCTTTAAAGGTCACTGGCTAAACGACTAGCATCTCTAAAAGTTGGCAAGAAGTCTGAAGGCCAAGCCTAGGGCTCTGAGGGTCGCGGCCAAGTCACTAAGAAGGCAAGGCTGAGAAAATTAGAGAAGTGCAGCCAAGGGGAAGGGTCAGAGCGTCTGGGTAGCGGGCAAAAGAGGAAGGCTACGGAATATTTAGGATGCGTCAAAGCGCAGAAGAGGTAGGTCCACTCCTTCTGGGAGGGTGGCAGCGAGAGGGACACGGGGGCGTACCGCGCAGGCGCAGACCCCGAGTGGGCGCCTCCGGCCCCTGGCCGGGAACTGGGGGCACTGCCGCAGCCACCCGCCTCCAAGCTGTTCGCAGCAACATCGTCCCGTAGGCACAGTCCCTAGCCCTAAGCGGTTTGCTGTCCTTGGCTGCGGACTCCCGGAAGTACTGTTCAGCGCCCCGGAAGCATTCCTCGGGCCACGAGTGCGCCCCGCCTGGTGTTCCGTGTGAGACGTAGACCTGAGCTACCGAGGCTGCGAGCGAGGTGAGGTGCGGGATCGGGGATCCGAAGGCTAAAAGGGTGATGGAGTTGGATTCCTCTCTGATTTTCCTTCTCGAACTTCCTCGAACCCTTATGCACGCTCCCCACCCCTTTTCCTCCGGCCCCCGCCCGGGTCTCAGGATGGCGGCCAGGCCTGAATTTTTCTAATCTTCGAATCCCGCAGATGCCGGTGGCCGTGGGTCCCTATGGACAGTCCCAGCCAAGTTGCTTCGACCGCGTGAAGATGGGCTTTGTGATGGGTTGCGCCGTGGGCATGGCGGCCGGGGCGCTCTTCGGTACCTTTTCCTGCCTCAGGTGAGGGGCCCGGGTGGTGACCTCTGGGCGGGACTACCGGACCTTCCCGCCCCATTCCTGCAGCCTCAATAGAGCCTTAACTCGTTCCAATCTCCTCGCTGTCCTCTGAGTGAGACTGATTTCCTAAACACTTTATGAGTCTGGAAGGACAGGTTGGAATCCTCGGTGCCTGAGAGTGTGAGCTCTGACTCAACCTCTGTGGCGCCTGCTCGTTCTGTAACCTTAAGCAATCCGAGCCTGCGTTTGCTCACGTACAGAATGAGGTAACACCTGCCTCACAGGGGTGTAAGGACCAAGTCAGAGCATATTTAGCACCGAATCTGGCACATAGTAAGTGCCCAAAAAATGGTTTTTACTGCTGTTATTTCCAGTTGCAAGTCGCGAAAGATACTTGTTGAGCAGTTTTACTGTACTGAGAACAGGATGGTAGAGATGAAGCAGATAAAAAACCCTACACCCTAAATGTCATTTGTACATGTAGTAGACTATTATCCCCATTTTTCCAGATTGTAAATTACCATTTACTGACAGTGTCAATCACTGTGCCAAGTGTTGCGGTGCTATCACATTTGTGTCATTTCACATTTTATACTTGACACAGCCTATAAAATGAATCCACAAGCACTTTAAAACACTAGGGAACACTAAGGATCATACATAGGTACATAGAGGTAAAACCACAGGAAAATGATTTCTGTGTACTTGACACTGCATTTCCTGACTCCCAGAAATTAAAGGCAGTCTCAGATCCCAGGTGGGAGGGGATGTTGTCAGACTTCTGGAAAGCTCTATTCATCACTAAAAATACCCTGGAAAAGGGCAGTTAACTCTGTACAGTATTTTTGTTTCCATTGGCCCCATCTTGGTTTCCTTCTCTCAGGATTGGAATGCGGGGTCGGGAGCTGATGGGCGGCATCGGGAAAACCATGATGCAGAGTGGCGGCACCTTTGGCACATTCATGGCTATCGGGATGGGCATCCGATGCTAATCAGGGCAGTGGTTGCCCATTTCCACCCTATCCCATCAGTCCCAACCCATGTACTATAATAAAAAGACTTTGAGTAGTCTTGGTGTGTTGGAGGCATTTTCTTTTTTTTTATGATTTATTTATTTTATTTTTAGAGGGGCAGGGAAGGAGAGAGGGAGAGAAACATCAATGTATGGTTGCCTTTCGTGGGTCCCCTGCTGGGAACTGACCTGCAGGGAACCAGCCTGCAACCCAGGCATGTGCCCTGACTGGGAATTGAATTGCGATTGTCTGGTTCACAGTCCCGCGCTCAATCCACTGAGCTACACCAGCCAGGGCTTGGAGGCATTTTCTTATTCTTAGCCTGTTACACAGCTTCGTTTGAGATTTTGTGAGCCGACTGATTTTGTCCTTTTCACTAGACCTGTATCTGATAAATCCAGTTAGAAAAATATCCTATGCCTGAAACCTTCCAGATCCTAGTAAACCTGTATTTTCCATCCTTTTAACGTTGATAAACGATACTATCACCATCTTAAAGGTGGAAAAATTGAAGCTACAAGTATATTCCACTTCAAGGTCACAATGCAGAAGTGGGTGGTTTTTAATGACATGTTCATCCAAAAATTTGGCCACACAGCTACTGGCTTGACCAGAAAAATAATTACCTACTGTGAAACAAAACCAAGCCCGCAGACTTTTGTAGCTTCTCAACTAAATCAATCCCAGATTTTTTTAGAAATGAGAAAGGAAAACATCAATTGGTTGCCTTTCGCATGTGCCCCAACCTGAAATCAAAACCTACCACCTTATACCTTGCATGAGGTGCTTGAGTCCACACCCATTAGGGTGATCCCAGTCGATTCTGTATAAATGAACGCGGGCCGCCCCCCCCCCCCCCAAAGTTCTAATTGACTCGATAGGTAGGGTCTTACCTACTCAGGCCAGAGACCTTCACAGATTTTGTTATGAACTGCATTACCCACTTACCAAATTCTAAGGAAATTGTAATGTTTTAAGAAGCGTTTGGGGAACACAGGACACTCAGATGCAGCCAAAAATCAGGGGCCCTGCCAGAATATCAATAGCAGCTACAGATTTCCCAAAGTGGATACTGTCTCATCAATTACCAGAAGCATTAAATTCAGAATGGCAATTTGAACTTTTGTTCCTCCCACTTTCTCCCTTCCCCTCTAAAAATATTAAACATAAAGCTAAAATTTTGTTGTGCTAGTGAGCTACATTTTGTCACCTTATACATATACATACCAATGGCACCCTGACCAGGTAGCAGGCCCAGTTGATTGGATCATTTTCCACAGTATACCAAAAGGTTGCCAGTTCTATCCCTGTGGCAGGTGAGTGGAGTGGGAGGCAACCAACTGACTCTCCCTTAACTCTAAAATCAGTGAACATATACATATGGACACCTTTGCTGTCCCTGAAAGGATGGCAGAACTCGACAGAATCAAGACTTAAGACTTAACAATTTAACTGGACAATTTGAAAGAAAAAATGGATAGTGTAAGTCAGCCCAAGAAACACTGCTGCCCGGTGTTCAAAAAAATAATTTTAATTGTGAAATTTCTTCAGGTTAAATAACTGAATCAATTAAAGCAAGTAATTTTAGATTATTCAGCAAGAATTGAGAGAATTGTAATGCCTCCATATTCAAACTGATTAAGTATCTTGATATCTGAATAAATGTATGACTTGTGCCTCATTGCTAGATCAATTCCACAGAAAAAGAAATGAGGCAAGGTCATTATGAGCAACCACACTCACTCCAAGGTTCAACTAACTCAAAGCTTACAGCAGAGTCCAAGAGTATAAATGGTGAAGGATCACTAAAGTTAAAGCTCAAAATCCCATAAAGTAACAAAAGCAATCAATTTGGGAAATCACTTCGAACTTATACTTTTTGTTATTTACTTTTAAATAGTAAAGCATATTTTCACAAAGATGCCCTTCAAAATAAGACACTCAAGGCTTGGATGACTGACTTTTTTGTAAATTCCTGTTTTGATACATTACCCTAAATAAATAAATAAGCAAAGTGCCAAGATACAGTAACATATAGGAATGTACAGATACTTAAGGGCATGACTTCATCCGGACTCTGCCGAGAATTTTCCCAGAGGCAAATACCAAGTAAAAAGTCAAAACCCCCCTCAACTATTTTCATGTTTCTGTAACTTTAAAACATTTCAAAAATGAAGATTACCTGTGGCCTTTTAAAGAGAATTTTATTTGAGTGGTTCTTACAAAGATTGTTGCAATATGAAAGTCATTTGTTTGATAGAAATATCAAGCTGTCTTGTCAAACACACTGAAGTAACCCAAAAATATATTTCAGAGCTCACAGAGCTTAAAAAGAGCAAAGATTATATGCAACCAGACAAAACCTATTTCTGCATTTCCTATTTCTTGCTCAGACTGCTTTGCCTTAACCAGACTGTCACTAAACATCTTGAGGAAATGCAGGGATCATTTTGTTTGGGACCTTAGACACACCAGAACACATATTTACAAAGAAACTTTTACAGATACATTAATTGAAAAGATACCATTCAAAAATGAAATTTTGAAACCTTTTCTTGCCAATTGATCAGAATGTGAGATGTTAATCAAACAGCCCTTAAGCTGTCTTGAGTTTCCATACACTAAATATGCATTTCAGAAACCCCTGCTAAACCATTAGCTAAAAGTAACATTAGCAAAAATGTGAAATGTAACTGCTGTGTAAAAAGTTAGGCTTCTGAAATGAAACATTAAAAACATCATATCCCTGTCTGCCTTTTTACATTAAGCACATTTGTTTCCCTAGAGCTATTCCTATAGATCTTTAATGTAATTTTCTACATGTACATTTAAAAGGCAGAACAAGAGAACAACAGCTTTGTATACAGTGGGATTTGCTAGTTAGGGAGAATGAGCACACTGCAATTCCTGTTAACATTTTTATTTTTTCAAGGTAACAGGAATTGTATACAAATGACAGTAGACCCTTGCCTCTTTATTTTTATCTAAATAAAAGATAACTCAAGATGAATTCTCAAGAAAGAAAAAGAGCTATGTACATAAGAGACTATATCTTCCTTCATCGTCTACTTGGAACCAGTAGTTGTGTTGCTGTCATAGAATCAGGAAATAGGTTGTGATAAGTTGGAAGAGGTACATATGCTGCTGTTATCATTTTACCTGTTGGAAAAAAAAAAGATACAGGTATTTTAACATCTTCACTTTGATTAATTAGAGCCTTAATTATAATGACTTAGAAGATCAAACTCACCAGCAAACCACCTGCCATGCAATGCATTGACAGCAGCAATGGCTGCAGCAATTGACGGGCACTTCACATACACATTGCCCTAAAATATACACATACAAAAAAGGTTAAGGACACTGTCATAAACAGCATGAATTATAATAAGTTTATTCACATTCCCTGTAGAAAACTTAGTGCTCTATAATAATTGTTGTATAGCTAATACATAATATATGTAGAACTTCACTGAAAAATGTTTGTTCTCCCATAGATCTGGTCCTGTACTAACTTTTCTGTGATTTGAAAGCTGCCAAAGAATGAAATAAGATGCCAGGATTTCATGGCAAGATCTCAACATGAAGTAGCAACACTACTTGTCTAATTCTATATTATTTTGAAAGTGCCTTTATCTTGGAGGGTGTATATTTAGTATGTTGAAGTTTCCATTAAGAAAAAACACTAAGGAAAAATAATGATCATAATATGACCCAAGTATCTGAAGCTAAGGCAAAGAGCAACATATTTTTGCTTATTAAAAAGATAAAAATACCTGAGCTGAATTTTTGTCAACATAAATATGAATAACTCCTCCATGTTTATTACATTCTTCAATCACATCATCCTTAATCTCTGTATCCCATCCAACTTCTTCTTCCCTGTAAGAAAAGTATTAAGCTTTATTAGACACAGTTCAAATTTGTAAAGTTACATGTATTTTCATTTGTATAAAAAATTGATGTTAGTGCCCTGACTGCTGTGGCTTGGCTGGATGAGCATCACCCTGCAAAGTAAAAGGCTGCCAGTTCAGTTCCTTGGTCAAGGAACCTGTGAGAGGCAACCATCTAACACTTCTCTCCCTTTGTCCCTCCCTTCTCCTTCTTTAAGTATCTTTAAAAATCAAAGTAAATACTGTTTCTAACCAAGCTTATACATTTTAAATACCATCATTCAGTTTGACATTTTCCCAATAATACTTATACCTACAGTTTATCTCCATATAGACTAACCTAATAGCTTCCAAGGCTCTTTCTACGGTAAACTATGAATATAAATGCAAACAGCATATTATAACTATAGTTATTGTATGAAGCATGTTTCTTGAAATATAATCGTTGACTTATCAAATTCACTGGGGATGTGGGGGAATCCCTACATTTTAATCAAATTATTAACATGACTTAAAAAAAAACCAAGATGTGACTGATTAATAAAAGGCATTCTAATCACTGGGTAGGAAGTAGAAAGCAAATATTCCTAAAATGAGATCACACTAATAAAAAGAAGAAAATTTGAAGATACTTGTCTGCTATTAGACTGATACAAGCTTAAAATTTCAAAGCCCAGAAACAATAAAAGAGTAAACTGGTGATCAAAAATAAATACTGGTAGAAATTTTACAGAAAACTACTTAGATATATGAATGGAAAATGTAACATTTGTATAAGCTTTCAACTGAATTCCAAACTTACACACATAGCCAAAGAAATTGATCAGCAATGGCCCTGGCTGGTGTGGCACAGTGGACTGACCACTGGCCTGCAAACCAAAAAGGTCACTGGTTGATTCCCAGTCAGGGCACATGCCTGGGTAGTGGGCCAGGCCCCCAGTGTGGGGTTGTGCAAGAGGCAACTGATCCATGTATCTCTCACGCATCTATGTTTCCCTCCCTCCCCCCTAAAAATAAAACCTTAAGAAAAAATTTTAAAATCAGCAATGTGCATAAAAATGGTGCTACAAGAATCAGAATGGTTACATTATTTGAACTATAAAATATACAAAAACATTTCAAGTGTTAATTCAGAAAGTTAAATAAAGGTTTTACAGCATACATGTTTGAACCTGATCAAAGTATGTTACTTACGTTTGAGGGTTAAACATGTTAGAGAGTTGAAAACACTGTGTTGCAAGAGGTTGAACAGAGGCAGCCGCAGCTAAAGCTGAAGCTATAAAAAACAAACAAACAAAAAAAGAAATTAGTTTCTTAGAAAATGTATCAGAATAAAATTCAACCAAAAACGCCCACCAAACCCAGAGTATGAAACTGGGATATAATCAAGCCAGCCACTTCACTAATTTATTTAATAATGATCTCAAGGTATGTGAGAGTACCCCATTTTAGTTGCTGGAAAACTGAGGCAACATTTCAAGTGGCTGATCTTAAGAAAATAAAAATTCAATCATACAAATACCAATACAAATCAATACAGATAGTCAAAGAATAAAACTGAACACTGACTTTGTATGTAGGACTACTAGGGTTTATACCCTGACAAGCAGGGAATAATAAAAATACAGTCTTAAAATGCCAAATAGGCCATGGCCAGGTAGCTCAGTTGGTTAGTGCTGTCCTGGTAAGCCAAGGTTGCTGATTCAATCTCCAGTCAGGAGCACAGAGAAAAAAAGCAACCAATCAATGCATAAATAAGTGAAACAACAAATCAATGTTTTCTTTCTTTTTATTAAAGATGATTTTATTTATTTTTAGAGATAAGGGAAGGGATAAAGAGGGAGAGAATCATGTGCTAGAGAAACATCAATTAGTTGCCCCATGCACACCCCCGACTGGGGGCCTGGCCCCACAACCTTTGGATGAACCCTGACCAGGAATCTAACTAGAGAGAGAAACCATTTCTGTTTGCCCAGTCCACTGAACCACACTAGTTAGGGCAGTTTTCTCTTTCCCTCTCCCCCTTTCTTTCTCTCTCTAAAAAACAATCCATTAATAAAATGCCACAAAGATCTATACACTTTTGTGCTTCTTAGATTTATACCCATGAATAGAGTTACATTAAAAAAAAAATGGGGGGAAATGGGGATATTTGTAATAAGGGCAACAATAAAAAAAGTAACAAAGTGGGAAGAATAAATTAAAAATGTAAATATAAAAATACTGTTTTAAAAATAAGAAACAAAACCACTCAAACATTTAAGATTTAATACCCTAAGATTATAAATCTTATTAAAAATCAAATTAGTATTTTAAAATTAGAAGGTGTTTTACCACAAGGAACACTAAAAATAATATAGTAAATACTATATTAAAATTTTTAGAGAAACTACTGGACACTAATATTTAGGCTCAACATTTAAAACCTATATTGGTTTAACTTTGAAGTTAAGAGCATTTACCAATATAGCTACACCATTGTTTTCGTGTGATTTATAGAACATTACCAGTAGCTGTTACACGACTCACCGTAATCATAACATTTGACCAAATTTCATTCCAACATATAACAAACAAAGCTAAGGATAAAATAGTGCATTAGAAATTATAATTAAACGTCCACCAGAGGAAGTATCAGAAATATTCTACTGAATAAAAATTGTACCTGTGCATAAAATACATTTAAAAAAATGTTTCTGATAAGATTACAATTTTTGCTTATTTTTTAGTTAAAAATAAGCAATTTTTAAAATAAAGCTTTACATTAGAATACAAATGCAACGAACAGAAGTCACATTCTATTGGGTAAAGTTAAAGATGCAACCGTGCTTATTACAAGAAATAAAGCCCACTGTGTACCTTATCACAAACAAATGGAAATAGGCTTGGAAAAACCCCAGAAGGTCATTTACAAGATTAACTGAAGATATTATTTTTCTACTTTCTCAAATTAGCTGTATCACAAATACTAAAAAAATATTTAGACCAATGTATGATATAAGTATTACAGCTCAAACTAGATGAATGCAGAACACAATAAATTCAGCGTACAAATACTAATAGAAAAACAACTCTATTTCAACTTTTAAAAAATCTGTTAGAAAAAAAAGGACTGAGTAAAACTCTCCCATTTGCTGGTTATACACTTACTTTCCATCAAGGAACATGGTAGATCTTTCTCATTGAGAATCATTTCCCTAAATAACTTTAAATATACCCTATGAAAGGATACTTAATTTGCTCAATAGCAAAGGGCTCTATCAAACGGCAGATATTTATGCGGTATTTAAGAACAATGAAAAATAGCCTACTTTACAAATCATAACAATCTCTGAAAATCTGCATGTAATTGTGTCAATCACTGGAGTTAGTAACAGCCAGTTTTTCCTGTCTTCTATGTAAATTTACTAACAATCTCTACACAAAAATAAGCACAAAAGAATGAAGATAATGCTAAGCAAGCTAAAGCCCCAAAAAGAACAGACATTTTCACTTTTCATCCATGCAATTAAAATAATTTGGATTAGGCCTTCTGAAACATACATTAGCAGTAAAGCTTACTGTATATATATACTACCATGTCATTATGACAAAATTGGGTCTAAAATACAGAGTATGATAATAAATACTATTAATAAATACAAACAGCTATGTCTTGCTACATTTACATTTATTTAAAAGACAAATAAAAAGCTCAACTCACCTTCAGTCTGTTGAGAAAGTCTTGTTTGCAAATCTATAACAAAAGAGAATTCTACAGCTCAGTGCAGGAACAATGAAGAGCCTCAACTAACAGGGTAAATGTCAGGAAAGCATTAATAAAAGAGGACTACTGTAGCAGGGTTTATTAAAATGAACTTACAGAAAACCTGGCAGCCAAACCTCCTTCCCCATTCCTCATTGGCAAGGCTTTGGGGCCTTCTTCTTTCCTCCTAGCCTAGAAAACTTACTTATGCCTCTCTACTCCTATTCCTAGCAAGTAATCTTCCACATCTCCAATGCATTCCACTACACTATTCTGCACATGGGAATAATGGGAAATGGGGAAAGGGAAGCACACCGGTCAGAAAATACATGAAAACCCTGATCTTGAGAATTCAATTCCAAGTACTTGGGATATTGAACTATTTATTGTCTTGTCAGTGAAAAATAAGCATTTTTAAACTTTCAAAACATTATTAATAAAAAAAAGTAATCCCTGCAATAGTACACGTTAAACAACTATAAACACTTTCACTGATCTACCAATTCAGTAGTAAGCATATCAGTGGGAAATACCATTCTAACTGTATCTATTACTTTTTAAAAGTGCTTTTTAAAGCTTAAAAAGTCTAACCCTGAAGGTGAATTTTTATTTGGATCTGGTTTCATGGTCTAGTCTAGAAATTTAATGAGGCAAAAATAATAAAATCTAATTGGGTTTACCATAATCTAATACAAGAAATTTTAAGCATCTAGTTAGTATTAAAAATAAAGAGAATGGGGATTTTAACCAATGTATTTCCCCATATAATCATTAACACACTTCTAAATTAAAAGGCAGGTTAACTGAAAACTGATAGGATGTGAAAACAGCAGCAAGTCTGAATAGTAAAGAAAATGGCCAATGTTGAAAAGCTATCTTGAAGCTTGAAAGTTACTGAAATAGCCTTGACTCATGTGGCTCAGTGGATTCCTGTGAACCAAGGAGTTGCCGGTTCCATTTCCAGTCTAGAACACAAGCCTGGGTTGCAAGCCAGGTCCCTGGTGGGAGATGCTTGAAAAGTGGCCACATACTGATGTTTCTCTCCCTCTCCCTCCCTTCACCCCTCTAAAAATAAATAAATAGTTAAGATCTTTTTAAAAAAAGTTTGTGAAATATACAATACAAAAATTGTTTATATTCAGTACCCATTTTTGTTAAGGTAATTCAACTGCAACACCTTATCACCATTTGGATTTCTTGTTGAGTACATGAAAATGATCATAAAACATGGGCAAAATTGAAAAGGAATCTGCAGCCCAAGTTATATTGGGAAATAAGTATACCTGGGTCCTAGGTGCTCAAAATTGGCATCTCGAGCCGAAGAAATATAACTGGTGTATACTGAAGGAACTTGAAGATATGATCATAGGAACACTGTCAATAAACTTTAAATTATAACACAATTTGTCTTTTTTTCCTAAAATGGGAAAAAATGTATAGATATCAGAAATCCATACTATATTTTAAGTATATAAATTCCTATCGAAATTCCAAAAATAAAGGTGACTTTTTATATGCCCTTCTGATCCCAAGATTATGGCCAGAGAGATATCAATGTCACCAAGAATAATTTGTAGGATGCCAAGAACTTGTTTTGAAGTGTTTTAAAATCTGACTAGGAATTCTGACACAGAAACAAAGAAAATGTGAACATTTAGAATGTTTTCTTTTCAGAAAAAACTTTCCAGTGATTTTTCAGGTTATTTGTGACAACTTAGAAAATAAAGCATAAGGACCCTGTGTTAGAAAGGATCTGTTAAAACTTCCAGAAGAAAAGTATATGGATTTAGCCCTGGCCAAGTAATTCAAGTTGGATTAAGGCGTTGTCCCAATATACCTGGGTTTGATCCCTGGTCAGGGCACATACAAGAATCAATAAATGAAATACATAAATAAGTGGAACAACAAATCGATGTCTCTCTCTCTAAAATCAATTCATTAAAAAAATTTTTTTAATTAAAAAATTTTAAAAAGCATGCAGGTATAATGATGACCCTCCCTTGGTTTCAAACAGCTTTCAGCTTTAAAGGGTTCACAGGGTAAAGTTCTCCAAACACTCAGCAATTTATTTAATTTCAACAAGGAATGTATAATGTTTTAATGACTATATGGAGAAAAACTAGATGTATTATTTACCTATAAATTAGGTTGACTAAGTAGCAATACAATTTATCAAGTGTAAGAAAAACAAATTAAATCCTATCAACAAACGCTTACATGGGGGAATATAACAAATACATAAGTAACTAAATGGCTATTTTCAGCAACTCACATGGATGTTTAGCATTTTAGTTGATCATAATCAGCCAGCCTTAATATAAGCTTCATAGGGAGTGTGATAAGGGATGTATAGTCATATATCATGCATGACGTAAGAATTAACAACGAAGGGTATTTAGTAACAATGTTTAACATTAAAAAAAAAATCTCTGGCATGCCTCTGTTCTTAAGGGCAGAAGGTCACGTGCAATTTCCTTTGCCTTCCTTTGACTGTCTACATGTAAAAAAAAAATTTTTTTCCCCCACCAGGTGAAGCTATTTTTTATGAAGAAAAAACCAAACTAATATATGACACACCATTCAGGATACAACCTAAGACTGTTTAGAAATCAATCATATTATCACTGCATCAAATCCTTGAAGGCAGGGGACCAATATTGTTCACTAGCCTTTGGTGAATTACCTAGAATGTGGTAAAAATCAAACATATTTTCTAAATTGTTGAAAGAATGACCTGAACAATGGGAATAAAAAAAGTTTTCAGATTGAATAATTTTCAAACCATAGATTAGGGATTATTTCTGAAGTGATGGGTTTCCTTTAGTATCTTCAATTACAGCAAATGACGTCTATGACTACTTGTTCACTGTAAAGAAACTGAATACCTAGTATTTATTTTGAAAGTCAAAATAAATCAATACAGTAATGGCTATAATTCTGCTTCTCATACACCCGGCATGGTTTTGTGAAATTTTAGAGAATAACTACCTATTAGATTGCAAAACAAATCATTCAATTTGACAGAGAACACACAAAACCTAAACGCAGGTTTTTTTCTAAAGGTACTCTTATAAACGTTTAAATATCCATTAAAAAAAAACAAACAAACACTGAAAAGCCCCCCCCAATAAAGAACAATATATAAGTAGAAATGATCTTTTCCATTTCAATTTAAAAGGAAATCATGACGTAATCACATGAACCTTTTTGTATAGATTCAGTACCATCCTATTTTGTATTTCTTTTTCAAGTCGTTTTTCAATTATAGTTGAAACCCAACATTATACTAGTTTCTGGTGTAGATATTTCATATTTTTACATATTGTCAGTCTTTGTAGATAAAATTGAAGGACCAATATATAATAAAAATTGCCACACTTTCTTGGATTAAGTACTTCCTGTCATACAGGGTTCACAATATAAATGGTTCTTTTATGTACTTTTAAAGTACATATTGCTTTTATTGAAGCAATACTTCAATATTTCAAAATTTAATGTTATCCTAGTTTGCATATGTGGACTAATATCAAGGTTTATAAAGACGTTTGCATAATTAAGCAGTGTTTCATAAACCAAACCCCTTGTTACATAATTGTAATAAACTGCCAATGATCTCCTCCCTTCCGGCCATTTCTAGTAACTTCATTTCCTAAATCAACATGTCAAAATATTTACCTCTTATAAAAGCACTTTATTGGGAATTTTTGATATTGCAACCACTTTAATAAAGCTAGATTTAAAGGCCTCTGGTAGTTTTCTGAACTTTAGTATTGCAATATAAATTTGTGGTCTTTAATAAATGTATTTTAAAAGGTATAGCTTACAGCAATTTCAACTGAAACTGGTGTGCAGGGTTCAGTAGCAATACCCTGACAGCTTATTATGATTAGTGGATAATTCTGTCCTATGTCTCCATTTTTTTACATGATTATTTGAGATTTATAGACTCTAAGTACTTGATGAATTGAATTCTCAGTAAGTCCTTTTAAATGCAAAAATTTGGCAAATTTTCGAATTAGGTGAAAAAAACAATGATTTCAAATTAGAAAAGATTCAATTCCTACCTGCCACAGCACCAAATGCCAAAGAGCCACTCATTTGCAGAGCTTGCTGTGCTGCTGGTGGGATCTGCAAACCTGTACCTGTAAAAGAATAGCCCTGAAAGTCTTTCACATGTTAACATCAGAAAAAACCCGTTTTGAGTGCTTACTACTAGTCACCTGCCTAGAGAAAGTTACGAGCAGCATATAGTAAAGAACTACAACTAAATTTATCTTGAAGCATCAGGATAACATTTTTATAGAAAGCAAAAGAAATCATATAACATGATTCCTTTGCTGTGGTACTAAAAAATGCACTACCACAGAGTAGATGCCACTAGACCATTAATGCAATAAGTTTGTCTATGAAATTACATGCATGTGCTGCCCAAGGATAACATCAATTCCAAAATAAATCACTTTTCATTTATTAGTGTGCATGGTCCCTTTTCTCATCATCATACTCGTAATAAATCATTCACAACACTAAGAAACACTTACCCTCTGCAAGTCTTGCCATTAATTGGAGACGACCAGTTGTTCCCAAGTCAATTCCAGTCCTTTCCAGTTCATCACTGTCCAAAAATGAGCTAGCGCTGGAAGCATCAGTACGTTCAGTAACATGACCAACTTTCATTGGTCTTCCAGCTAGCTCAAATCCATTAAGTTGTTCCAAAGCCTTCTTGGCACATTCTGAATCAGAAAACTGTAATTGAGAGAGGTAAAAAAGTCTAGTCATCAGTTTACATATATAACCAAGGTAAAAAAAATGCTTACAGGTTAAGTTCAGTCTTTACATTTCTGGGTAAATAATAAAGTAGAGCTCTGGCTGATGTGCCTCAGTGGACTGAGCAACTGGCTCGTGAACCAAAGGGCTGCTGGTTCAATTCCTAGTCAGGGAGCATGCCTGAGCTGCGGGCCAGATCCCCAGTTAGGGGTATAGTGGCAACCACACACTGACGTTTCTCTCCCTCTCTTCCCCTCTAAAAGTAAATAATAAGTAAAATCTTAAAAAAAAAAAAAAAAAAAGATAAAGTAGAAACTTGAAGCTGTTCTATAACCAACATGATCAAACCATATTATTGACCTGATGACTTAAAATGACAAGAAAGGCAGTTTTCTGTAGGGAGCATGTCTGTGCCTCCTGCCCCTGAGGCTTATTACCTTTACCCCTTTCTTCTCTGCTTCAAGGGCCCCTTTCGCCTCTGCAACTTGTTTCCTGAGCACATTTCTGTTGCAACTTGCTTCTACCTAGGTGAATTTCTAAATAAACTTTCTCACAGTTTGGAAAAAAATAAATTCAAAATAATAATAAAATAGTAACCAAGTTAGGAAATAAAGAATCATGGAAACAAAAAGTAAAAAATTTTAATTCAAAGCCCTTCTTGCCCTGACTAGTATGGCTCAGTCAGCCGGGTATCATTTCACAGACCCAAAGGTCATAGGTTTGCTTCCTGATCAGGACATATGCCTGGGTTGCTAGCCGAGTCCCTAATTGGTGGGGGGATTGAGAATGGCAACCAGTTCATCTTTCTCTTGTACATCCTTGTTTCTCTCCCTCTTTCTTCCTCCCTGTCCACCTCTAAAAAGAAAATCTTAAATACATGCATACAAAAAGGTTTTTTTTAAAAAAAAAAGACTTTATTTTTTGAGAGAGGGGCATGGATGGAGATAGGGAGATACATCATCAATTGGTTACCTCTCCCATGCCTCCAACTGGGGACCTGGCTCACAATCCATGCATATAACCTGACTGGGAATCGAACCAATGACCTTTCAGTTTGCAGGCCAGCACTTAGGTCCACTAAACCACACTAGCTAGGGACATACATAAAACCTTTTTAAAATCCCTTCTTAATATGCTGGGACAAACTTAAAAGGTACTTTTACCCTCTTAAAAGTGAACTACTCAAAAATTAAAGTTCATTCAAATGTTCTTTTTATTTTATTTATTTTTAAAAGGCTTTATTTATTTATCTTTTGAGGGGAAGGGAAGGATAGAGGGAGAGATGTATCAATGTATGGTTGTCTGTAGTGCATCCCCTGCTGGGAATTGGCCTGCGTACCAGGCATGTTCCCTCACTGGGAATTAAACTGTGATCATCTGGTTCACACCCATGCTCAATGCACTGAGCTATACCAGCCAGGGCCTCAGATGTTCTTTTTAATGATCATCTTTTCTTGTTATGAAATCATGACAGTTCTTAATTCCAGGATGCTAACAGCAAAACTCTAATCTATTCCTTTTGGTTTAAATTTAATGGGGAAAAAAGAACACATTCCCATCAATTCCATAGTTTAATCTTTCACCATCACGTTTATCATTCAAAATAATTGTTTGTTATGAAGATGGAGGTTTACACACACAGCACCATGTAAATTTATATAATCTAGATTTGTATACAGATAACTGAATCACAGTAAATAGTTAATTAAAAAGTTACATCTAAAATCCTTTAAAAAAACTCCACATCACTTTCTATTGGGGAAGGAAAAATACTGGTAACCACACTGTTATTATAAACAAAATAAAATATTGGTGAGTTGACGGTTTCAAGTAAGTTTTCTCCTCTCCCCGGCACTTATTAAATAAAATCCCTATGACCAATGAAATAGTCTCTGTACTATGACTAGTTTAAATTTTATTGTCATTTGGACATAAGACAATTAAAATTTCTTGATAAAACTGGTATTTGTATTTAATGTAAAAATGCTTCCATCATCTATCTTTCCAAGATGTTAAGATCATATATTTGAAAAAATTCCTACCATGTTAATTGGATTACATCATGAAGTAACAGATAAAAAAGTTCACTGTTAAAAAAGCACCTCCACTCACCACTAGTCCCCTCACAACTGTCACCTCCTATCATAATCAGGGACTGAGTAGCAATAGTTAGCCAGAAATATAAGGCATCCCATTACTGTGGTAAGGTGCATATACATAAAAAGGATTTTAAGTACAATGAAATTCCAAGAGACCTTTATTCACCAGACAATACTGTGTCAAAGATAGGTAAAAAATTAAAGTAGTCAGCCCTGGATGGTGTAGCTCAGTGGATTGAGCGCGGGCCTGGGAACCAGAGGATTGTGGTTCAGTTCCCAGTCAGGTCACATGCCTGGGTTGCAGGCCAGTTCCCAGTAGGGGACGCGACGCACAAGAGGCAACCATATACTGATGTTTCTGTCCTCTCTCTCTTTCCCTTCCCCTCTAAAGATAAATAAATAGAATCTTAAAAAAAGTTAAAGTAGTCATATAAGGGAATCAGACTTCAATTATATGCAGAGTTGCCTGGCTGGTGTGGCTCAGTGGAATGAGTGTCTGCGTGCAATCCAAAGGATTGTGCATTCAACTCCCAGTCAGGGCACAAGTATAGGTTGCAGGCCAGGTCCCCAGTGTGGGGGTATGTGAAAGGCAACCACACATTGATGTTTCTCTCCCTCTGTTTCTGTCTCCCTTCCCCTCTCTCTAAAAATAAATAAAACCTCAAAAAAATGTGTATGAGTTGGCTAAATAAATTGACCATAATAACTGGTTAAATAAATGTTCGTATCTGCTGGACACATATTGCTAATAAGAAATGGCTATTAATGGCAAGCTTATCTAAAACACTTAAAAATGTTAAATAACCATGCCTTCTTTCCCACTATCAAAAACTAATGAAATTTTACTATGTTTCTTAAACCAAAATTGTTTTAAGTCACGTTAAATGTTTACCGTAATAAATCCGTATCCTTTGGATCGACCTGTTTCACTATCCATCATGAGCTGAATACTTTCAATCTAAAAATAAAAACATAATTATTACACAAATGAGGGAACAAAATTTTTTCCTTGAAACTTGACAGACATATCTCCCTCTCCCCCCTAAAAAATAATTGGAAATACACCACAACCCATATACCACCCCCCAAATCTTCTAAAGGCCTAGAAATTTCCTAAACAAGAGGTCATACACTGAGGAGTCAAGGAAAACACAAAAGACAAAACACCTTAGTCTTCTACCTCTAAAGCAAATGACAAAAATTTGCCCTGGCTGGCATGGCGCAGAGGACTGAGTGCCAGCCTGCGAAGCAAAGGCTCACTGGTTTGATTTCCAGTCAGGGCACATGTCTGGGTTGCAGGCTGGGTACTCAGTAGGGGGGTGTGCAAGAGGCAACTACACATTGTTGTTCCTTTCCCTTTCGCCCTCCCTTCCCTTCTCTCTAAAAATTAAACCTTAGTTTTTTGAAAATGACAAAAACCTAAAGTCCTTTGTAAAATATAATCAAAAGTTAGAAATGAAACCTTAGTTTACATTCCGTTACGCTAAAAACACCAAAAATAATCCTCTATCCATACACGGAAAGCATGAAAAATTAAGATACAACACCCATATCATGTATCTTCATGTTCTGGTGGTTTCCGGAATATATTCATTTTCTAATAATCTGATCCACCCATACAATTATGACTTATGTATCATTATTATGTGTCAATTTCCAATAAACCAAGCACTCACAATCTCAAAACTCTAACCTTTACCATTGTTGACTTGAAACAGTTTAACAAAAGGATTCAGTGGGCTAGGAAAAGCAGTAACAAATATATCCAAGAACAATGAACATTAGTAGTGGGTGAGATTCAGCAGGAACTGCCAATTTTATTCGTGGCCACAAAATGAATCTTTTAAACTAGAGCACAGTCCACTATTAATTTTTATTCTAAAATGTCTATTTTATACAGTGATTGGCCTGGCTTGGTAGCTTGAACATCATCCTACAAACCAAAACATGGCCAGCACGTGCCTGCGCTGTGGGTCAAATCCCTGCTTGGGGGTATGCAAGAGGCAGCTGACCAATGTTTCTCTTGCACATGGACGTTTCTCTCCCTCTTTCCTTTCTAAATAAATATAAATAAAATGTCTACTCTAATATGATAACCAACTGGACATTAACAGTCTAATTATTCTTTAACTCAGGAGAGAAGCTTCTCTACATACCCATAAATTTTAAGTAAAAAGTCATCCAAATGAAAAAACAAAAAACCAAGAAAAAAAAAATCACTCGCTCCAAATTCATTTTTATTATTCATGTTCCATTTTTAAAGAATGATTGATTCTAACATTATGCATTTCACAGTAGCTAAAGAAGAATGTATTAAGAGTCTTTAACTTCAAATTATATGTACTTTCAGGGACTCTCTTTTAAACTGAAGCTGTCACAGAAACCTTACAGAATCACCTATCCTCATCTTAATGGTAATTTTATAGAAACATAACAAAGCAGATATACAAGAATTATTATACAGCTATATGTGGACCAAAAGCTGACTGAAGAAACTGATGCATCCAAGAAATCAGGACTTACCCTTCCAAAAGGCTCAAAGATCCCCCGAAGCATATCTTCAGTTATGTTAAAATGTAATGAGCCCACATAAAGCCTCATAGGTCCAGCACTTCCTTTTTGTAGATTGTTTGCCATTGCTGCAGCTCTGTTTTTTTCTGCCTACAAATTAGGTAAGTCAAAATGCAATTTACACAACACTAATACAAATTAGTAAAATAGTAAATCCCATCCAAACATTAGGTTTGCTTAATAACTGATATCAAAGGCTAGTAAAATAAAATTGCCTTGGCTGAGTAGCTCAGTTGGTTTGAGCATCATCCTGATAGGCCAAGGTTGCAGGTTTCATTCCTTGTCAGGGCTCATACCAGAAATGAACAATCAATAAATAAGTAAGTGAAACAACAAATCGATGTTTTTCTTACTCACGCTGAAAAATCAGAAAGTTAAAAAAAAACCCACAAGACAAAATAACGCTAAGTGTAATTATTAGTCATACGCGAAAAGGACAAATGTTCTATTATTCCATTTACATGCGACTGTGTTTAATAGCACTGAATCATAAACAGTTAAAATGTGACTTTTTCTGCCCTGGCTGGTATGGCTCAAAGGATTGAGTGCCAGCCTGTAAACCATAAAGTCACTGGTTCAACTCCTTCCAGGTTAGGGCACATGTCTGGGTTGAAGGCCAGGTCCCTGGTTGGAGGCCTTTGAGATGCAGCCAATGGAAGTTTCTCTCCTCCCTTTCTCCTTTCCCTCTTTCTAAAAATAAAATCTTTTAAGAAAAGCCCAATTTTAAAATATGAATGCACCCTCTTATCAAACATGTTGAAGCGGAAAATCAGATTTCTTACAATTGTTAAACACATTCATTATTCATTAAAATGAATGTACCCTCAGTGTCATTCATTTTTACTCATAATATAGTCATTCTGTGACAGCATAGTATAGTATACCAATGACAAAGTATGTCATTCTTTTTACTCACAGTATATAGTACACTAAGACTGTCATAAAGGGGCCTGACATAAGTTAGCTCAGTTGGTTAAAACAACGTCCCAATATATCAACATTGCAGGTTGGATTCCCCAGGCAGAAAACATACAAGAATCAACCAGTAAGTGAAACAAGTCGATGTTTCTCTCTCTAAAGTCAAAATAAAATTTAAAAAGAAAGCTTATGTAAAAAAAAATTTTTTAAGACTTATGTCAATATAAATAAAATCAAACCATTGTACTTACCAAAATCAAAACTTTTCAATTTACATACTAACACAAACTTCTTTTCTTGTAACAAAATGGCACACCTTAATTAATATAGGTCAATAGCAAGTTAAATAAATTCAAAACCTCATTTAGCCCTGGCTGGTACAGCTCAGTGGACTGAGCGCAGGCCTATGAACCAAAGGATCACGGTTTGATTCCCAGTCAGGGCACGTGCCTGGGTTACAGGCCAGTTTCCAGCAGGGGACGCACGAGAGGCAACCATACCTTGATACTTCTCTTCCTCTCTCCCTCCTTTCCCCTCTAAAAAAATAGTATCTTAAAAAACAATAACAAAAAACCCCCTTAAAAACAAAAAACCTCATTTAATTTGGTATCTTTCAGCCCCGATATCAAGTCAATCTGCAATTAGTTTGTCTTTCTGCACCAGAGGACTTGAGCTAACCCATCATTTTTCTATTATTTACTTACAATCAAGTGATAAATATATTAAGTATTCTTAAAATGTTAAATAGGATATTTCACCTTTTAGAGGTGCTAGAGCTAGTAAGTAATTTGGTTATGGTCACATAAACTTGTTAGTAGTGAAACTGGAATTTCAAGTAGGATGTGGTTACAGAGCTTATGTGTAGCCTTTTTTTTTAAATTAAAGGGTCAAACTTGTTTCTGACCCTTGTTATTTGACTAATCTTTAAAAATGTTTATTTTTTAGAGAGAGGGAAACAGAAGGAGAGAAACATTAATGTAAGACAGAAACACTCATCAGTTGCCTCTCACAGGTGCCGTGATGAGGGAATCCAATCGGCAAACTCACTCTGCCCAACACCCAACCAACTGAGGGAAGCAGTCTGATGAACAAACCAGATTACTTAGGAATTATGGAATATTTGTTTCAGTGGTTTGAAAAGCTGCCCTGGATGGTGTGGCTCAGTGGATTGAGTACCAGCCTGCAAAGCAAAGGGTCACTGGTTAGAATCCCAGTCAGGACACATGACTGGATTGCAGGCCGAGTCTCCAGTAGGGGGCACATAAAAGGCAACCAAATATTGATATTTCTCCCCCTTTCCCATCTCTCTAAAAATAAATAAAATCTTAAAACCAAAGGAAAAAAAGAAGAAAACATACAAGCAACCAATGTGGACTGTTCAGGTACTGATGATAAATCCTAGTATGTACTTTCATATTACATACCCAGTAGATTGATACATCTGAATTTTTCCACATCTAAATGAACCAAAATGTTGATGCCAATTCTGTAGAGAATTAGCAAAGAGGAATTATATCAAACTTTGCATTACCTTAGAGGATGTTCTCAAATTAGTTTATAAAACACCTACTTTTCAAGAAATATTAAAACTGACAGCTGTTCAAATTACTTTTTTAAAACTGATTTTTAGAGAGAGGGAGGGAGAAAGAGGGGAAAGAGGAGTGAGAGAATTATCAACTCATTGTTCCACTTCTTTATGCATTCATTCACTGGTTGATTCTTGTATGTGCCCTGATGGGGGATGGAACCCACAACCTTGATGTACTGGGACCACACTCTGTAACCAACTGAGCTATTTGGCCAGGGCCAAACTAGTCTTGGTTGGCATTACATAAATATAAAAATTTCTGAAACTATCAAATTTTCATAAGTCAAAAATCATTGCATTTTCTCTTCTGGGTGCCTTTCTCTTTGTTTTTCTCTCCCCCCACAGACACGCATCTCCTGAACTCTAAGGGACCCCACAAGACTTGAAACAAGGGAGCAACAGGCAGTGGCAGCAGCTCCTCATCCCAGGCTACCCCCTGAACCTGTTTCCAAGGCCCCCTTTTCTTTACTACTCTGTAAGCCAAAGCATATCCGCACAGGGTCATTTCTTTCCTGTAACACTTCTAAAAAGGCAAAGCAGTCTTCCCTAGGTTCTCTCTTGATGCTTCTTCAATTCTAAGCCCTTCCTTGTTTCCTATCTCCAGCTTTAACCAATGTATTCCACCACCCCCACCGAAAAGATCAAAATCACTCAACTTGAAAGACTAGAAGGGGAAAAAATGTTCTTAGATTCTTTATCTTCAACAGATTATCACAAATCAATAAAATTCTAGACAAAGTCTGAAGTCTTTTTCATGAAATAGGTAATTACAAAAAAACACTATACTAAAGCTGTCCTGAGAACTTATTGCCTAAGGTAGCATAATAGTAAGTGGTGATTACGTAAAGCACAGAGAACTGCAGCTCAACACTGCAAAAAGCAGGTTTCCATTAGTATCAATGATCAAATTCTTAAGCAGGAAAAATTACCTGTGATGCCTGTACTATGATTGGCACTCCTAAAACCCGTTGGCCAGTTAATCCTATTGCTAGAGGCACTGAGCTAACATCAACAAATTCCACATAAGCAATTCCTTTGGAACGTCTTGAATTTCTATCAGAAATCATTCTCACATCTCGAACCTGAAAGAAAAAAAAAGAAACCACACATATACAGTTAACAGAAGGTTGTTTGTACAACTATCCCATGTAAACCATTATAGATAACTTAAAAAAGAGACAAGAGAAACATACTGATGCAGAAAAGGTATAGCCGTCACAAAGATTGTTAAATGAGTAAATCTGTAGGCCTACTTCTATCTTTTGAAGAGTAACATGGTTATATTAATCAACTCCAGCACTAACTTCCACATGACGCAAATTAGGAATGTTACCAAAAATAAATTCTGTAAATAAGTTCTATTTAATCACAAGATTTGGTGTTCAGATGTGTTATTTTATCTGCCATACCAACAATTATTAAAATGTTTGCCAACTGCCACTTAGTTGAAAGGTAGCTAAGATTACCTTTCCTACTGTAGAGAAAAACTCTTCCAAATCCCTTGGCCGAATTCTTGCTGCCAGCTGCATGCAGAAAACAGTCCTTGCATCTCTTTCCTCAGGAGTTAAATTATCGATAGGTTCCCTAAAAGGAGTAAGAAATGTAGAATTTTATAAGTTATTCTCTTTACTGTACACTTTCGGTAAACAGAATAAACTTTACCGAAGCTAGTTTGTCACTATGCCCAAGCCTTATTTATATAAAATGTCAATAAAGTAATTCAGTGTGACTCAATTCCTTCAACAGACAGTTTACTAAATGTTCCTTCTAACATGCTATTAGGGCAACAATTTTTCAACCAGCATGGGCCACAAGAACTTTTATTTTTTAATCCACACCAGAAGACTTTTTTTTAATTGCTGAGAGATACAGAAATATTGATTTTCCTTGTTTGTGCCCCAACTCAGGACTGAAGACGTAACTGGGATTATGTGTCGTAACTGAGAATCGAATCCAAGACCTTTTGGTTACAGGACAACACTCCAGTCAACTGAGCCACACCACTCAGGGCAATAATTTTTTAAATGTGCAACACCTGACTTTATAGTCAGGGGAACTGACCTCTTTTCCCTTAGATTACTGAATAAAAAAATGACAACATTTAACACAATAGCCGCCTGGTGTGAATGAAATTTACTGTCAGACTGGCAAAAAATGTACTTTTTGGTGGGCACTGAATTTTAGTTATTTTAAATGTGCCACAAGATGAAAAAGGTTGAAAATAGCTATATTATGACAAAAAAGTCCACTGACCTCTCAATCTTTCAAATGGTGTTTTCTCTTGGATAATGTATAGCCAATCAAAAGCCTGGGAATATACTAACAACAACTGTATATAACCACCAACTAGCCACAAATCAGACTGGTCCTAAGATAGTAGAATGATTTCCCACAACCAGCCATAAAAATCATAAAGTGAAATCAAGTTTGATAATCACAAAAGGTATCCTTGAAAGTAAAATCCCAAATGATAAAAAACAATTCAAGCCCTGGCTGGTGTAGCTCAGTGGACTGAGCGCTGGCCTGCGAACCAGAGGATCGCAGTTCGATTCCCAGTCAGGGCACATGCCTGGGTTGCAGGCCAGTTCCTGGTAGGGGACCCACAAGAGGCAACCATATACATTGATATTTCTTTCTCTATCTCCTTCCCTTCCCCCTCTAAAGATAAATAAAATCTTTAACAAAAAAACCCCAACAAAAACAAAACAATTCGATGCTGTGAAATTTATTTTATCTAACAAATTAAAATAAATTGTTATTAGTCCAGAACCATTTTACTAAGACTGTAAATCAGTATCCAAAGAAATGTTTCGTGATGAATATGGAATACAGAGTAACCATTAAGAAAATCAAAAATAAAAAGCAGGAAATTAGGTAATTATCAGTCATGGGATCCAATTTACTCATATTACAAATAGCCTTATACTTCTATATTTATAGAAGGAACTAAAGTGCCCAAATAAGAAAAATACTACAGCACAATAGTAGGAATTTAATCTTATAAACTTTAAGAAAAATAAAAGCATCTATTAATATTACCATTATAAAATACTACTATATGGTTAAGATTCTAAGTGAATACTTTATGACACAAATACGAACATGCTCTTATCCATGTTTTGAATATTCTCAGGAATACTTCTGAAACACTCCATACAAAATTCTCATAAAACACCCATAGAGAAATCAGCAACTGACTTTAAACACATTCTGTAAAACTCAGGTATAAAAGCTGAACTAGATCCAAAGAGAACTAAAAGTGGAGTTTTTGACAGAAAACTAAGTATTAAAGAACAAAAACCCCAATATCTGTCACAGAGAATTTTTTGAATTATTAAGGTTTTTACCTAATCTTGAGATCATTAGAATACACAAAGTAACAGGATAAACTCAAAGTTAAAACGTGCCCTCAAGGGGAGCCAGGACATCAATAAAGATGTTGATCAACATGGTAAATTGGACAGATAAAGATAAGCCTTGTTTATTAAAAAAAGAAAATAATCCACAGAAACATTAAAAAATGAAAAACTACTTAAAAACCAATCAATTTGGATAAGACTTTGGAAATAAAATATTCTCAGGAAAGAACTGATAAAAATTACAACTACCTTCACTGAGGCCATTTCAGTAACTCAAATGTATTAATTCCAAAGAACAGTGAGTGAAGTCATTTGAAGGTTTCTATAGCTACCATTTAAAAATTTTTAGTCAATATAGCCCTGGCTGGTGTACCTCAGGGGATTAAGTGCCTGCCTAGGAACCAAAGGGTTGACAGTTTGATTCCCAGCCAGGGCACATGCTTTGGATGGGGGCCATGACCCTGGGGGGGGTGTTGGTGGTGGTGGGGGAACCATATGAGAGGTGACCACACATGTTGATGTTTCTCTCCATCCCCTGCCCTCTCTCTAAAAATCAATTTAAAAAATCTTTAAAATTTTAAAAATTTAGTTAATATAAAAGGGAAATAACATTAACATGTAGCATCTGCACATTAATACGGTAATTACTGCTTAACTTAGTTATATGAAGTTAAAAATAAGTTAGAAATGCATTAATAGTAACAGTATTACAAAAGGAAATAAATTTAATATGGCTGAATTTACTTAATGTCATTAAATTTAGAAGTAGCATAAATTGCTGAAACTTTATCTAAGTGAAAAGTTTTAAAGAAAGAGTGACAACAGCTACCTCACAGGGCTCTTGTCTTTTCTGAAAGGACTTTTGCTTCGGGAGCGTCGTCTGCTGCAAAGTTAAAAAGTATCAGAAGTTACCCAAACAAGTACACCACGTTCGTTCCTTGAAAAACAATTTAAACAATTCAGAAGTATGTTTAAAAACCTTAATTTGATGCTATGAGGCAACCCAATCTTTCCTCGGATGGCACTGTTAAATTTTGGTCCGGAGCTAAAAAGGAAACACAAAATTACACTAGTTACAGGTTTAGGGTCTTGCTAAGATCACGTTCATGTGCTCTCCAGCAAGTTAACATTGTTTAGGCTGCTTCTTTTCCACCTCAATTATGAAGAGGAAGTAAGACGTTTTCTTTTAACTCTATCCCAGGCAAACTGCTCTTACAGTTATCCATCCTGGACCACTGAGGTGCCAAACAAAACCAAAGGTTACAGCCTCAAAAATTTTTTAAATTCTGAAAATGCTCACTTTTTTAGATTATTTTTTGAAAATTACATATGAATACATTCCTGAGGTTAAAAAAAGCACACATAGAAGTGAAAATAAATCATCCTGAACTTCTCTCACACCAGAAATAATTAGTTACCAGTTTGGTGTGCATCTCTGCACAGCCTCTCTCAGGAATATACATGTATTTACACTTAAGTACACATACAATATTCATGTTTTCTTGAGGGACTTCTTTTAAAAAAATAAGGAGACTGGCCTGGCTGGTGTAGCTCAGTGGATTGAGCACGGGCCTAGGAACCAAACAACCATGGTTCGATTCCCAGTCAGGGCACATGCCTGGGTTGCAGGCCAGTTTCCAGCAGGGGACGCAAAAGAGGTAGCCATACACATTGATGTTTCTCTCCCTCTCTCCTTCCCTTCCCCTCTAAAGATAAGTAAAATCTTTTTAATAAATAAATAAATAAATAAATAAGACTAATTCTTTACATAATCACAAAAACTCCAAATTTCCATTTAATAGCAAGTCTCAGGGACTACAGAAAAAGCACATTTAGCCTATTATACTTCAATTCTTTGTGGCAAAATATCCCATTGTAAAGATGAAGTAAAGAAGAATCACCGATTCTTCAAAAAAAATTTTGAGGACATGACGTTTTTTTAAAAAAGATAAAAAAGGCAAGTATTCTAAGAAAAAAATAACAATAAAAATTGTAATAGCAACTATTTTGAAATAGTTTTGTCCTATATTCTAAATAACTCTAAAATGACTCAGCAGTATTTGAGCCTTTTATTTTGAATGACCAAACTAAATTAAAGAGACAGTCAGATGTCCCTTAGTGCTCATCCCATTCTTCTTTCCCAGAAGGGTAGTGAAAATGAAGTAACGAATGGTCTGTGATCCACTATTTGGATTCATTTTCATGAACTCTTCATGTACTTAACATTCAAGCAGTTTGAAATAAATTATATTAAACTGGTCCTTTGTAATTCAAACTGATAATTAAGAATATACATTTACTGGGTAAATTTAAGTCCTAATAAGAAATGTATTAAAATGTTCTACCCTGATTACATTATTCAAGTCCCAGTTTTTGCCTCCATAGTTAAAAATTACCTGAAACCAAATGTGAAAACTAAATCCATTTTTTAAGTCAGACCAGAATCACAGGCTGACTTCAAGTATTCATCACTAAACAGAGAAAATAGCATTCAGAATTTATTAAAGGAATCCTCTTCCCTATTTAGTTCATTTTGATTTTTAAAACTGCAGAAAACTGATAAATTGGACAGAAAGTATTTTCTAATAGAGCATTTGGAATCAAAAAGAACATTATGGTCCCTTAAGCTCTTAAATTAACAAAATAAGCACCTAGGAGGAACTTAGAAAACAAATAGTTCAATTCTTTCCATTTTCAAGATTTAAGAACAAGAATCAGCACTCAAAGTTGAATGGCTTCAAATAGCAAAACATTTCATGAATAGCATTATGGCGAGTGCTTTATTTACGTTCTCTTCTCAATGCTCATTAAGTTTTTCTGATAACTGTTACTTTTCTGAAAGGCTGAGAAAATGAAAACTCAGAGGTAACTTGCCCCAGTGTCAGAGACAAGACTCTGATTTGGTTATCTGTGAATTCCACTTTCATCCATTCAAATTTTAAAGTTAGAAGTGTTCATTTCAAAAATCCCATAATTTACAACAATGTGTTTATTAAGAAAAAAGCACTAAAGACTGCCATATTCAATCCTGGCTTAAAAACTGCAGGTAGGCTCTTTCCAGGTATTAATACAATTCAGAGTTTTTTAAATGACTAAAATGAAACTTTACTTGTAACTTAACAAGATCCAACTTTTCATAGTAATTTAACCTTCAAAGCACATTTAGTGCTTTATTTCAAAAACTTTAAATACAATGCATAATGAGCCCCCCCCCAGTCATCATTATCCAGGAGCACAGACCAAATTCACAAAGCATCTGTCATTTCGACTATAAATAGCCACACAGACAAGATTATTACCTAATGGCATATTTGACTTTTAAATAAACTTATGTTCAGTAAATGTTCACAAACCTCAGAGCTTTCAAGTATTTGGGCACTATATTTATCAAACCTTAGCACTCTACTGCTGTAGGCTAGTTTGGACTGGCATACAATTATATATTTTAATATGGAAAAAAAATCTGTATGCCTAGAGTAAAACAAGTTATGATTTGTCCAGTTTTTCACTTTACTAGTCTTTTCAATGCCAATATCCTTATTTAATGCTTTTTAAAATAATCATATTAAAAAGTAAAATCTCACAGTTCAAATCACTCAGATTAAATTGCTATCTGGACACCCAGCAAATGACTCAAACTATAATCATAAACACAGTTACATACTAAGGACTTCTGTAGCGGCCTCTGAATCTGCGATCTCGACTTCTTGAGCGGCTCCGTCTCCTTTCTTTGCTTCTACTTCGCTTCCTTTCACGGCTTTTGCTCTTTTTCCTTTCTCTATCTCTGCTTCGCTTCCGTTCCTTACTTTTGCTTCTTTTTCGTTCATGACTACGACTTCTGCTCTTGCTTTTTTTCCTCCTGAGGAAAAAAAACCACCCACTATTATCTTGCTGGTTTAACAATCTGACAAAATATACTTACTTTTATGGCTAGAATTTTTAAAACCTTTTTGTAAATTTACTTTGCCATTTTTACAATCATACAGTGATAATCTTATTTATGAAAAAAGTTAACTCCTAGGTAAGGTAAACAATACCCAATCTTTGCCTTCTGCTACTGAACATCAGCAGTCAGTTGTCAAAGAATCATTTGAGAGAGGAGGGACTATAATGATCATCTGAGAGTCAGCTACAGGTCCAAAAAGGAAAGGACTTTAAATAAAGTTTGACTATCTTGTTACTGGCCAACAAGTATTACTATAATCCACAGGATACAGTAATAAATCAATTATTATAACAGAATGTTAACATAGAAGTATTAGTGCTAAACCATATATAAGAATTGTCATTAAATACACTCATTTCCCCAAAATCAATTTCGATCCAATTTATTAATTTATTATTTTATCCTTTCACCAGGCCATATAAACATCAAAACTTTGGTTTCCATGATCAAAAAATTACAAGTAACAAAAGATAGTAAAATTCAGTAAAATGCATTGATACTCATAGATGTTATTGTAACCATTTCAGGTATTTTTAAAGTTATGAGCATGTGGGAAAATGGAGTATGCGACTATTATGTCGGTTTATACAGCGTGTGGGGTGCAATCAGAAAGATCAACATCTATATAAATCTTTGCAAAATTTCAAACTCTGTAAGGTTAAAAAAGCTAGTCAGTCATATCTTTGTTCATTTCTGTACTCTTCACAACATACCACTCACTCATTTCATAGTTAAATCTTACAATCCATACCTCTGTGCTATCACCCAAATTTTAGAGGTGCCTTCAGATATTTCGATATAAATTGAAAGCCATTTCAAAATAAACTTATTCCACTAAAATGTCAACTTATAGTAGCTAAAAGAATAAACATTTTGACAACTCTACTATCATCTGGAGATTTTAACTGTTTAGTTCTTATCAAAGTAAAGTTAGCACAAGAGCAACCAGAGTCTGCCTCAGAGAACCTGTAAGTAGGCCATCTTAGAGTGCATTGAAAATAGAAAATGAAGACACCCACCTTCCGGAATCTTGAAACCCACACTCCAATCACAAGGAGATGTAGAGCTTTCCAAGGAGGCAGAAACTTTGTCTAAAATTTCAAGATAATCCACCTGACTGTCAGAAATGTATATGCTAGGTAGCACATGACAGAAAATTAGGCTACACTCATTATGTCATAAAAGCATGCCCAAAGGGCAACAGATAACATTCCAACTTTGTTACCTGAAAAACCTAACACTCTCTTAAGGAATTCTGTGCAATAGCTATACTCAAAAGTCCTAAACATAATTAGGGAACAAAGTAAAAAGTAACTCCATCTCCCACAAAGACAAGTTTTGCTCTGCTTATAGATGGCCCATAGAAGAGAGGCAGCCAACCTCCCTATTTACCTCTTTTTAGGCCCAAGACTTATTTTTAACAAAGGAAAGGGCTTAAAAATTGAATAGCTAATTTCATTTTAAGGTCTTCCTAGGATTTTTTAAATAAATAAGTCCCCGCCCACATCTGAAGGCAACCCCAGACAGGTAAAAAGACAGCAACATATTGAGACATGGAGAATGTACAATCCTCTGCATAAAAGCCCAGACAAAAATTTAAGGGTGTAAGAAGTCAGTGTATAGCTTCAAAGAACATTTACTAAGTTAAATAAAAACAGGTTATATAAATCCATACTAATAGTCAAATCCTGTTACAACTTAAAAGGACTTTCCAAAGTCTTTAGTGGCAGTGGAATTTTGTACTGAACATCATTGAAGTAAATGGTCCACTGGGCTGGGCCTTTGGACTTTTTGGTTATATGGCCTCTGCTGTAAAGGTGTTTTGCTATAACTGGATTTGACCTCTTCCATGTAAGAAGATCTAAATTTTAAATGCAAAGTACTCTGGAAAATAAGAAAAAAATAGAAAAGTCATTTATTCCAAAATTTATAGATAATCCACACCACAGTAGCCAATATATTTCAATTGTGTCATTTTACTGTTACTCTTTTTTGAGTAATTCCTGAAAGAATTTAACTGAATAAATGCTGATTTAGACTTTGCTAAACTGGTTACACTAACAAGTAATATTCCCATGAAGGCAAGCTCCAGTACTTTAAAAAGCTTACTTTGATGTCTTGCCAAACTTAGGAGTATAGTTCTTTAATTGATAATCATCTTGTATTATATTAATACTGATACAACTACTGGAATACAACTGAGTGCATGTATTGAGAATCAAAATTATTTTTTCCTGAAAAGACATTTACTGGCCCCTCTCAATTCTCATAATGTATATTTTCTTACTATCTTAAAACTACATCCAACACTCAATGGCTTTTAAGGCAATGAAGTTTTAAGATGAAAAATGCAATGTGGCACCTTCCTTTGGTTGACTAAACTTACACCAAAAACTAAAGCACTGAACATTTTGCTTTATAGTCTATCTATCCCTAAATACATAATTTCTCTCCTAGATAACTTTGAAATTAAATTGAAAGATTAATTTCCTTCAGAAAAATGGGAAAAAGTTCCTGATTGAACAAGGGAGCCATTTATTTAATCAACTATACATAACTGGTGAGATGTCTAAACCGAAATAATTTATACACTTAAAAAGATCCTAGATGGTAGTTGGAATGTTTTGGAAAGTTCCCCCCTTAGCCAAAGATTTCTATGATCAATTAAAGAAAACTGTGCATTGTATTTAGTCTCATAAGACTATTTACATTAGATAAAGGCCACTAAGCATCTATTATTGTGTCCTTGTAAAAAACTTGGTAGCTTTAATGAGCTTAGATGCAGGAAGTATTGTAAAACTGGAAACAATGTTAGCAAGGAGTAACATTTAAAAATGGCACAAGGGCTCTGGCTGGTGTGGCTCAGTGGGTTGAGGGGCCTTTAGTTCTCGGGCAAGTGAACTCAAGTATCACCAGTTGAATTCCCAGTCAGGCACATGCTTGGGTTGTGGGCTGGCTACCCCCCCCCCAGGAGGGGGCGCACAAGAGGCAACCACACATTGATATATCATTATATCAAGGTTTTTCTCACTCCCTTCACCTCTCTCTAAAAATAAAATCTTGAAAAAACTAAAAACAAAAAAATAATAAAAATGGTACAAGGGCCTGTACCCCACAGTGCATGTTCTCATCCTTTTCATACTTAAAATGAGAGCTTTACCTCACCCACTAGTCCTGACAATTAAATTATATCATGATATATGAATATCCCTTCCTATATCATCTTTGGGTTACAGAACTATAAATTAGAACCATTAAATAGGAAATAGTTACTTTGGTAAAGGTCTAAAACCAGACACATTAAACCATACAATGATTAGCTGATTGCCTCACGTGTAACGATCTAATACCCATAACCTGTTGTGATTAGTGAGGAAACTACAACAGACTCCCACCAGAGTCTATAAAGTGATTTTATATCATTTTAATCCATTACTACATTATTTTAGGAAAATTATAATTAAAAGTGTTGTCGCAAAGCCTGAATAATTCCATTTAACATTTTTTCATCTTTTTATGAAATTATATCAACCTAAGTTGTGAGAATGTATAATAATACACTAATAATAGTGTATTATTATAAAGCACTGAGCTCTTAAGAAAAAGAGCCACCCAAAACACAAAGAAACAAACAAAATCCAAGTGAATGGCTATTTACCATCATCTTTGTGTATAAGTGGTCATGAACATGACAAAATGTTTTAATGACATCATAAATATAGCCTAATAAAACATTCAATGTGTGTATATCACGTTATTAAAAATCACTAATTTTAGAGCTGAAAGGAAACTCTAATAGCATCTAAAATAGATCTAATTTACTATTACTTAGAATTTTGTATACTGTATTCTGTTCTAGTCTAAAGCATTGAGTTATTACGGTTTTGGATTACTAATTTAACTCTATTAACTTGTGTCAATTTTTCAAAACTCCATTCTCCCTATTAAGTCTACTCTAGTTTTAAAAGCTTCAAACAAGAGACACGTAAGAGGAACGTAAGAAGTATTAAGTATGCTATATACCATTATGACAAAAGAGCCTTTAAGCAGCAAGAAACTTGGTTAATTTCATAGCTGTGACTCCTTTAAGTAATTTAGATACTGCCCTTGGCCTGATTATTTTGTTACCTTTACTTCTTCCTAACCCATCTTCAGTGAATGTTAGTTTAATTGATAACATCATTAAACATTAAACCAAAGTTAGTAACAAAAGACAAATTGTAATATAACATTCATACAAATTTCCTGGATGGATTTGGAGGGGAAGGTATCCAAAAGGTCCCTGAAACCATATTCTGAAATCTAGGGAAGGAGTCCATACTTTTATATCCTCAAATAGTTTCTAAGTCCCCCCAAAGAACAAGTTTTCTAAGAGGAAAAGAAAAGCTTCCAAAGAGAACCTTAGTTTGACACTTTAGCCACAGGAACACAACTTTACTAAGATCCCAAAATTCCCCCCACCCCAGCTCCCTTCTTAAAACTTACTTTTTGCTACGTTCTTCATGGCCATTAGCACTGCTCAACTTGTTCTCATCCTAAGCAAGGTTGATAGAAGAACATCATGAGGACGAAGTGGTAACATTTCAAGTTGTCAAAGGGTAAAGGGAACAGGAATAAGAAAATACAAAACAATTTTAAAACTAATTACTTATCCATAGTTTAACATGGAAGGCTATAAAAAAATTTAGATGGGTATGTGTTTAACCACTTTGTTGCTTACAATTAAGTCATCAAGATACAAAAATAAAAAGGCATATTAACATGTTAAATTTTACTTTCTTATATAAATATTAAGTTATCCAGATTTATACAGTGTTGAAGTGGTTAAATAGAATTCTTTAAAACATGAATAAAGTCCTGTTTTGAGTTTTATTCCATGTGCTATAGTCCCTTTGGTCAGTACCATGGTTCTATTTCTGCCTAAGCCCCAAGTGGCCATGCTAGCAGCCAGCCACTATGGATTTCCTGTGACCGATGCCATTCCTGAGATCTTCGCCCATTTCCGTTGGAGGGTTGGGACTGTAAGAGCTTGATGCCACCTCTGTCACACATCTCGCCCTGAAGCAAACAGGGATTCACACTGCTTTAGTAATGTTGACTCTCAAGAACCCAAGAAAGTCAATTAATAATCCACCAGTCCAGCCTAAACATTTCCTACTTCCATACCTGTTTACACGGAATTACATCCATGTTTAACTAAGACACAAGAATCTTAACATTAAAATAGAAAGCTCTTCAAGAGTCTTAAGCATTAAACTAGGTACACTTTAAAGCTATAAAGTTCATCCAAATTGGTACCACATGGTCGTGCTATACACTCCAAAACAAATGTATTATTTTTAAAAGGTTTAGCGCAATGTTTATTTTAAAGCTTGATCACACCAGTTATAGAACTGCTAACTTACAAAGCTTACAGTTTGTGACACCAGTGATAATGCATGCATACTGCTATTTTCACCACCAACTGGTGAAAGAATGAAAAGACATTTTAGTTTCACTGGGATACTGAAATGGGTCAAAGACTTATTATTAGCCAAATTCCTTTGTAGTTTTTTAGTGTGAAATATGGCAGGGACTAATTAAAAATAAAACAATATGGAGAACAGTAAGACAGTCACCAAGTGACTCTAAGTTGTGATACTGCCTCTTTTGCTTAAAAAAAATTTTTTTTCTATTCAGGGATCCAAGAATTTTAGTGTTTTTTAACTAAGCAGATCATCACCTGCCTGTTTTAATATTTTACTCTCACCAGTCTTTTACATATATAAAGAAATATTTTAAATCTCACCCATTTCTTCTTGTAAGACATTAAAGATTTGCTTGCCACAGACTGGTTTTACTTTGTTATTCTTGGACCCCTGCTATTTTCCCAAACCACTACATTCACCTTTTTGCTATACCAAACTGGAGCTGGTAATTCTTAGTTGAGTCATTTTACCTAGGGGACCACGGTACAGCGATAAGTCACTCAATTACTACCTTATGATTGACAGTTCACACTGGAATCAAAGGTGAATTCATGGGAGTAGAGGTGAGATATCGTTAGGCAAGTCTACAAAGAGAGATAGATGGGCATTTATTCATCACGCTGAAGTGAAACTACTGCACAATATTATTACATCAATAGCATATATTTACTTTTGCAAGTTATACGTAATGCATCTCTGATAAGATAAATCAAGAGGGCTCCGGGGAGGTTAGTTTACATTTCAGCAGTAGTTTCGTGAATAATGCTAAATCAAGAAATATATAAACCTCACCAACATTTTTTTCTCACCTTCTTGTAAGGAGCTTCAAGCATTGCTTCAATATCAATATCGTCTGCCATTTTCTCTAAACGCCTATAAAAACAATACGGTAATTCTATGAGTAAATATATTTCATTTATGCTCGATTTCTTACTCAAATACTCCAACGCCTCAGAGAAACATCTTCAAAAGCCCAGGCATGACTAATGTAGCACAACGCACTTGACCAGTCTTGGTAACTAAAACTGAAATGCCTCTCTGAGAGCACATGAAAATAAATTAAATGTTCGACTTTTAAAACCCTGCCATGAACCCCAAAAAACAGATCCCGGGAGCCTCGATCGAGCGCGCCTTTCCGCGGAAAACCCGCTCTGCCATTTTAGAAGCAGGGGAAACTCCCTGGGTAGCGGCGGGTTGTATGCCGTGGCAGCAGCGTTCGGCTGGCGCCATGTTGGGAGGTCGCGGCCGGCCCAGGCCTCGAAGAAACAGGTCGCCATCTGCCGAGGCCTCCCTGGGGTTCGTGACACACAAGAACCCTAACACCTACTCAACCGGAAAAGAAGGGCGCGGTCGCCAAAATGGGGCCGATTTCTAGAAAGACTGCCCTCCCCCACCGTCGCTAAAAAAACGCCTAAAGAGTGTTCCTCAACCCGGGAAAGATCCAACCTCAAAGTCTCTTCCAAAACTAGGGTTCACAACAACTACTTACCTGTGCGGGCTTCCGGGCCCCTGTGCTGCTCGTGTTCAGAAAGAAGGGAGCTGCTGCAGCTGCCGCCGCTGTTGCTACAGTTAAGCCTCTAGGCCCGGGCCGCAGTACCGCCCAGCCCGAATTTCAGGCTCCGAGGGCGGATAGGCCCGAGCAAATCTAAAAGAAACAATGGGATTAGAGAAGGCCGCTCGGGAGTGCAGGACAGCGGCTTCCGCAGCTCAGGATCCAAGCCTGCGACAACGTCCGCAGCCTCCCTGAAATGGCGGCGGCTGCTTCCCCGTACTCACATTCACTAACACACATATACACACACACAAACACACGGGGCCTCACAGAGCCCTCAGCACGGGCTCTCGCGAGAAACTGCCTGTAGTTCCAGGCTGGAGAGGACGAAATATCGCGAGATCTAAGGATGGAGGTGGGGGGGGCCCGGCAACCAAGGCCCAATCTCGCGCAATGATTGCGCCACAGATATTCCCATCCCCCTTTCAGAGAGGCACTTTGACTCCTCCTCCTGGGTTGGCGTCCACAACTCGCGAGACCGCGCGACTTGGTAGAGCAAAGGCCGTTGGTACCTTTCATGTCAATCCTTTAGAAGACTCAACGCTGAGTGGAACTCGGTTGTCGCTACCTCCTCGTGGCACCTCCCTACAGCTATCTGAAGGTTTCATCCTTGGAGCTAACCCTCCCACCTTCCCCGGGGCCTCCCACCCAGATGTCTGTCAAGGTCGCCATAAGGAACCTAGTCCATATGGCGATAGAATAAAACAAAAACGGTCATATATAAATTATGCGCCACAGGTGAAGACGAAGTAAAAAGCACGTAAAGAGAGAATGCAAGAAAAGACAGTACAGGGATAGAGGGTTAAGGGCTGTAGAATAAAAATTATACGTCCCGGCCTTTTGGAGCCAGTGGGCTAGGCTCTGCGTCTGCTGTCCAGCTTCAGAACCCCTTCGGAAGTAGTGGAGAAAGACAAAGAGAAAGAAAAAAAACTGCTTCCTTGGGCAGTGGATCTGCTTTGCACCCCAGAATTACAGTCTGGCCTTGTGTCTGTGTTGCTGTTGTTTCTTCAAAGATGTCCCCCATTCTCCTGAGTCTTGGCTCCTTGCCCCTGAAGTCTCTCAGATGCCTGTCAGTTAAGAGTAAATTCACCACTTGTACTTAGGTCAATACTGAGGGGGAAAAAAGGGACCAGAGAGGTCACGAGTACAAAGCTTTTTTCTCCAACAGAAAAAGGTTTCAAAAAAATTAGGTTACATATAAGCAAAAGTCTTATTAGAAGTCTAGCTACTTAATGATTCAGGGCAAAGATTTGAAACCACATACCTAGGTTCCTGTAACTGCTCCAAACCTGCAGCGTTGGAAAAGTAAATTAACCTGATAGAGCCCTATCCTCCATTTTCTCCTATGAAGAAGAAGGTAAGATATAATTACTGAGCTAAGCTTCTTGACGCTAGGCAGGTAATGTTCACTATTGAATTCTCAGCGTTCAGCCAGTGTGCCCAGCCAGGTGAATACTTGACAAAAGAATAAATAAATGAATGAATGCCTAGTAGTCTAGTGAGAATTAAATGAGATAATACTTGTAGCATGCCTGGAAAATATTTAATTCTCAAAAAATTTAACTTCTATTATTACTAAACAAATTATTTACAGGAAATGTAGTGTAAGGTGGCTTTCTGTTTTGAGTTAACTTTTCAAACAGTGTTTTTCTTAGAGGGTAATATTTGCATATTAGTAATGTTCTTTCTCCTTTTCCTGAAAATTCAGATCTTCTATTGATTTTTTTTAAGATTTTATTTATTTTTAGAGGATGGTAGAGGAAGGGAGAAAGAGAGGGAAAGAAACATCCATGTGTGAGAGACACATCAATAGGTTGCCTCTTGCACACCTCCCAACTGGGGACCTGGCCCACAACCCAGGCATATGCCCTGACTGGGAATCAAACCAGAGACCCTTTGCTTCCTTTGGGTTCACAGGCCGGTGCTCAAACCAATAGCCAGGTACTCTATTGACTTTTTAAGTGTTGAAAGTCATCAGAGAAAACTGAATTGAAGCATAATATGCCAGAAAAGTCAAGCTAACCTTTGCCTTCTCTTTTTTCCTTTTAATTCCAGTATTGTGACTTGTTTTTGTTTTTGTTTTCTTTAATCCTCTCTAAGGACTGCTTGTGAGAAACGTCCATCTATTGCCTCTGGTACATGCCCCGACTGGGACCAAACCTGCAACCTATGTATATACCCTGACCCTAGGTATGTGTTCTGACTGAGAATCTACCACTCAACCTTTCAGTTTATGGGGCCACACTCCAAGCAACAAAGCCGCCCTGGCCAGGTGTGTACCTTGTCATTGTGCAAATATTACAGCATAAAGATGGTCCTTTCTTAATATTTTGTTTGGGGACATGACAGCATGTCCCCATCAAAACTTGATCTTGACCTCTAGACTGCCTTCAGCTGTTGTGCTTGCTGGCTTCATTATGGTGACTTGTAGCCCCAGTGTTGTGATTGGTGATGATGAACCAGACTATGACTTAGATTTTTTTCTGTATACCTAAGCATTAAGCTAAGGTTTTAAGAAAGGTGTTTATTCCTCAAGGACTAGTTATGGACAGGACTGAATGGCTTGCTGGAGATGTGATGAAAGATTGGAGGCCATCACATTGTAACCCTCTGCATGCTCAAGGGGGGTTATAAATTCTTTTCCGATCTGCTGGATTACATCAAAGCCTGGAACAGATATAGTGATAGATCCATTCCTATGGCAAAATCTATGAGTGTAGATTTTATCAGACTGAAGAGCTACTGTAATGATTAATTGACAGGAGACATAAAAGTAATTGGTGGAGATGATCTCTCAACTGGAAAGAATGTCTTGATTGTTGAAGATATAATGGACACTGGCAAGACAATGCAAACCTTGCTTTCCTTGGTCAAACGGTATAATTCAAAGATGGTGAAGGTCACAAGCTTGCTGGTAAAAAGGATCCCTCAAAGTTGGATATAGACCAGACTTTGTTGGATTTGAAATTCCAGACAAGTTTGTTGTAGGATATGCCCTTGACTACAATGAATACTTCAGGGATTTGCATCATGTTTGTGTTTTCAGTGAAACTGGAAGAACAAAATACAAAGCCTAAGATGAGAGTTCAAATTGAGTTTGGAAACATCTGGAATCCTATTGAAATCACCAGTGAAGTTATCAAATGTTCTAGGTCTGTGGCTAGCTGCTTAGTAGAATTTATTGCATGTAATAAGAATTTTAGCCCTGGCTGGTGTAGCTCAGTGGATTGAGCACGGGCCTGCGAACCAGACAATCACGGTTCGATTCCCAGTCAGGGCACATACCGGGGTTGCAGACCAGTTCCCTGCAGGCCACTTCCCAGCAGGGGACACATGAAAGGCAACCATACATTGATGTTTCTCTCCCTCTCTCCTTCCCTCCCCCTCTGAAGATAAATAAATTAAAAAATCTAAAAAAAAAAAGAATTTTATCTGTTTTGTATTTTAGAAATGTCAGTTGTTGCATTCTGAAGCTTTTTATTTGTATTATGAGCCTAAAGACCATCAGTTCCCTTTGGGTGGATTGTTATTTGACATGTAAATGAAAAATCACTTAAACTCCACCACTGTTGAATGAGAACATCGAAACTGTATCTGTAAGAAACATTTAAAGAGAAGATATATTAGTTTTTCATCGTTATTTTAATTTTCATATATTCAGGAAAGTACAGAAGCGATTGAATATTGTTCATTATATCACTGTGTGTTGAGAACAGTAAAAAGCAGTCAGGTTTTGTATCAATGACAGAATCTAAGAGGTACTGTTACAGCAGATAAACTGTATGTCTTGAAATTATTTTAGTAGTGTTTCAATATTATTAACTGTATTTTCCTGCTTGTTCAATTTATTTTCAGTGATTCTTTGTCAATAGTTCCTTTTAAATACAAATAAATCAATTTTTAAAAAACTTGAAAAAAAAGAACTTGATCTTACCCTCTAGATCGCTTGTTTGAGAACAGGAAGATTTTGTGTTCAGGGACCATCAGAGTGAACAGGACAATTTTGCACACAATCAAGAAACATCAGCTGGAAAACAGCATTTAAAACAAAAATATGTTTTTATATTTCAGACTGTTAAAGCATAATATGCTTTTCTTTTTTTTAAGATTTTATTTATTTATCTTTAGAGGGGAAGGGAAGGAGAGAGGGAGAGAAATATCAATGTATGGTTGCCTCTCATGCATCCCCTGCTGGGAACTGGCCTGCAACCCCGGCATGTGCCCTGACTGGGAATTGAACCGTGATCCTTTGGTTCACAGGCCCTCGCTCAATCTACTAAGCTACACCAGCCAGGACAAAACATAATATGCTTTTCATTCAATTTGCAAAACCTCTTTCGGTCTGACTAACTCAGACCGAAAAGTTAAAGTTTTTTTTCTTTAACTCATGGACTTTCAGTGTGAATTAATTCCCCTTTCATCATTTTGTTCTCAAGTCATTTGAAGCAACACAAGCATTATTTCTGTTCCATCAATGTGTGGTTGCCTCTCATTGAGTTAATTCATCACCACCAAGAATATTATTCTAAGGGGGGGGGTTGGGGCAGGGTGGAGGTGGGCAAAGAGAGAAAAAGTGGGGATAATTGTAATAGCATAAACAATAAAAAAAAATAAAGAAAAAGTCCCTTTCCTCAAGAGTTTTCCGTTTAGCCTGGTGTGGCTCAGTGGACTGAGTGACAGCCTGAGAACTGGGAGGTCATAGGTTCCATTCCTGGTTGGGGCACAAACCTGGATTTCAGCCTGATCCCTGGTGTGGGGTGTGTGAGGGGCAACTGATTGATGTTTCTCTTGCACATTAATGTTTTTTCTGCCTTTTCTTCTCTCTAAAATAAATAAATAAATAAATAAATAAATTAATTAATTAAAAGTCTTTAAAAGAATTTCCAGTGTAGTTAGAGAATATCCGAAGGAATGAAAACCATGTTCAAGGTAGTATTTTCTATTGTGTTAAAATTTTGCATGAACTCCTTACCTTGAAATCATAGTGTTAATAATAGCATATAGCACCTCAAGGTTTACAAACCATTTTCTATACACTATCCCTTTTATTCCTCTAAATCTATATTCATTTACTTGAATTGAATGAAATAAATTGATGCAATCAGACTGTGAAAGAAGTGATTATAGAATATTCTTTTGGAAGTAGCTGGTTGATGTAGGTCATCAGAGAATCTGAATATTTATCCAACACTTTATTTTTTTAATTATCGAACAGAAAGTGGAAAGAAAAAGACATATGCCTACC